GGGCGCACAACCTGGGCATATGCCCCAACTGGGAATCGAACCAGCGACCCCTTGGTGCATGGGTTGATGCTCAACCACTGAGCCACACTGGTTGGGCCTCTTAGGAGTTTTCTTAGAACTGAAATTACACTGAATTTAGCACTATTAAGAATTCACAAATGGCCCTGGCCAGTTTGGCTCAGCGGTTAGAGCGTTGGCCTGCGGTCCGGAGAGACCTGGGTTCGGTTCCCGCTAAGGGCACATACTTCGGTTGCAGTTTGTCCCCGGCCCTGGTTGGTCGTGCGGGTGGCAGCCACTCGATGTGTCCCTTCACATCGATGTTTCTTTCTCTCTCTCCCTTCCTCTCTCTCCCTCTGACTCTATCTGTACAAAAAATGGAAAAATATCCTCGGGTGAGGATAAAAAAAAAAAAAAAAAAAAAGAATTCACAAATGACCAAAGATAGCTAATGAATATAAACATTATTCAACTGTATCAGAAAGGCAAAGAAATGTAAATTAAAACAACAACAAAATACCACTTTTGCTTTATTGACTAAGTAAAGAAAATTTTTAAAATCACAGTCATTACAGTTCTAGGCAAGGTGATGTTTACTGATTGAAGTGTAAACTGGCCCAACCAATATAACAGAATTAAAAACATTTAAGTTTAGATGGAAAAATAAAGTAAAATACAGAAAAAAAGTTACAGTTTAGATATTTATGTACTCGCATGTTTATTTTAGTATATTCAATAGCAAAACATTAGGAACTACCTCAATGCCTATCACTAAGGTAATAGCTAAGCAAATGATGATACACATGTCAAAACAGCCATTAAAATTTATGGTTTCAAATATACTGTAAATTTGGAAAAATAATTGTAACATAACTAAGCTTAAAAGACAGTACAACTCTATAATGAAAATATTACTGCAATTCAATAAATCTACCGAAAGAAGACAGAACAAAAATTATGAGTTTTCTCTGAATATGAGATTATGCCTGCATTTTTTTCTTTGTACTTTTCTTATTTCCTAAAATTTCTCTAAAAATGTATTTGCTTTTATTTATTTATTTATTTAGCATTTATCTTCAGACAGAGGTGGAGGGAGAGAGGGAGGAAGAGAGAGAAACATCGATGTGGTTGCCACCCACTCGACCACAACCTGGGCCGGGGACAAACTGCAACCAAGGTACCGTGCCCTTAGCGGGAATCGAACCCCGGACTTGCCGGACCATGGGCCGATGCTCTAACCACTGAGAAAAACTGTCCAGGGCAGTTTGATTTTATATCAGAATGAAAAACATTTGTTTTAAAAATTGACATTTGGACTTCCGGTCAAGATGTGGCATAGGTAAACGCAGTATCGCGTCCTCCCACAACCACATCAAAGTTACAACTAAACTACAGAACAACCATCATTCAAAACCACCTGAAATCAAGCTGAATGGAAGTCCTACAACTACGGAATTAAAGAAGCAGCCACATCGAGACTGTAGGAGGGTCAGAGGCTCCACGGGATGGTTCCACACCCACGTGTGGCGGATAAAAATCAGGAGGACACTTTGGCTGGGAAGGTCTTCCCTGACGACTGAGGGGTCCCCATCCCACACCAGACGCCCTGCTCAGGGTTCCAGTGCCAGGAAGAGAAGTGTCCATCACTTCTGGCTGGAAAACCAGCAGGAACTGAGGCTCAGGGAGGCTCAGGAACTGGGCCCATGCACGGACTTATCGGACTCTCTCCCTCTAAGCTTGGAGGGGAGGCAGCTCGAGGGGCACCAGAGACATACAGGGAAGAACTGAGCTGTTTGGCACTGGAGCGAGGACTGGAGAGGGGGCTTTTCAGGGACAAACGTGCTGTCGGAGGCCTTTGTTTTTTTGGTGAGCCCTTCCCTGGGGCAGCAGACAGCCACCATATCTGGGACTCCAGCATCCTGGATCAAACTGGTTGCCCAGCCCTGGTGATACCCTGAGGCCCCGCCTCACTCTGCCCAACTTTCAGACCCACCCAAGCTGTTGCCACTTGCTTAACCATAGGATTGGCCTGTCTTGGATGCTGCTTCAGGTTTTCCTAAATTCTTTCAAACAAGCAGCATCTAGTCTCAGATAGCCCCATACCTCTTGTTAAGTAATACACAGAAACAAACACAGGGAAGCAGCCAAAATGAGGAGACAAAGAAACAGGTCCCAAATGAAAGAACAGAACAAAACAAAACTCCAAGAAAAGAACTAAGTGAAATGGAGATAAACCACCTAACAGATGCTGAGTGCAAAATACTGCTTATAAGGATGCTCAGTGAACTTAGTGAGGGCCTCAAGAGCATTAAAAAGGACCAGTCAGAAATGATGGATGCACAGTCAGAAATGAAGGAGGCATTAACAGAAATAAAGAATAATTTACACAGATTCATTAGTAGAGTACGTAAATTCAAGAAGCAAACCATCGGTTTGGAATATAAGAAAGCAAAAAATGCCCAATCAGAACAGCAAAAAGAAAATATCCAAAAAAATGAGGATAGTGTAAGGAGCCTCTCGGACAACTTCAAGTGTACCAACATTCGCATCTTGGGGGTGCCAGAAGGAGAAGAGCGAAAACAAGAAATTGAAAACCTGTTTGAAACAATAATGGCAGAAAACTTCCCTAACTTGGTGAAGGAAACAGACATACAAGTCCAGGAAGCACAGACAGTCCCAAACAAGATGAACTCCAAGAGGCCCACACTAAGACACATCATCATCAAAATGCAAAAGGTTCAAGACAAAGAGAGAATCTTAAAAGCAGCAAGAGAAAAGCATTTAGTTACCTACAAGGGAGTTCCCATAAGGCTGTCAGCTGATTTCTCAAAAGAAACTTTGCAGGCCAGAAGGGAGTGGCAAGAAATATTCAGAGTGATGAAAAGCAAGAACCTACAACCAAGATTACTCTATCCTGCAAAGCTGTCATTTAGAATCGATGGCCATATAAAGAGCTTCCCAGACAAGAAAAAGTTAAAGGAGTTCATCACCACCAAACCGTTATTATATGAAATGATGAAGGGTCTTTTTGAAGAAAAAGATAAAATATATGAACAAACAAAATGGCAATGAATACATATCTATCGACAATGGAATCCACAAACAAATGAACAGGCAGAACAGAAACATCCTCATAGATACAGAGAACATTTTGTTGGTTGCCAGATGGGAGAAGGGTTGGGGGAATGGGTGAAAAAGGTGAAGGGATTAAGAGGTACAAATTCATTGCTAGACTGACAAACCTCAAAGGGAAAGGGGTTGGGGGGTGGGAAGAAATAAACCAAAGAACTTACTTATATGCATAACCAATGGACACAGACAATAGTGTGGGAAAAGGTGGGAGGTGGGTGGGAGTGGGGAGGAAGGGGTCAATGGGGGAAAAATGAGGAATATCTGTAATACATACAACAATATAGATTTTAAAAATAAAATAAAATAAAAATAAAGCTTTATTACACTTGATAAAAAAACTAAAAAAAATAATAATAAAAATTGACATTTGGAAATATAAGATTAGCTAATTGGTTAAGAATTATATTTTGAGTCCTGGCCAGTTTGGCTTAGCAGTTAGAGTGTCGGCCCACGGACCAATGAGTTGCAGTTCCATTCCGGTCAATAGCATGTGCCTCGGTTGCATATTGTCCCTGGCCCAGGTTGGGGTTGTGTGAGAGGCAACCACTCAATATGTCCATTTCACGTTGATGTTTCTTTCTCTCTCTCTGCTCCTCTCTCTCCATCCCACTCTATCTGAACAAAAATGGAAAAATGTCCTCGATGAGGATAAAAAACAAACGAAAAAGAATTATATTTTGATCATTTAGTTAAAAAAATGTTATTACTGTTCTCTTTCTCTCAAGCAAAAAGTGACCCTTTATCTTGATTAAATCTAAGAATATAATTATTTCTCTTCTTGCCTAATTAAAAGTTCAAATCCAAAGTATACAAGGTAAAACAATTATGGCACTCTCAGAATTTCCATGGTGGTGGTTAGTTCTTTTTGTTTGCTTAGCTTTAATTAGTGTGTCTTTATTTATCCTAGTAGTTTTCACTGTGATTCTGTTTTAGAACCAGTGGCCATACTTTTAAAATGCTGTTAGGTTATCTTTCAGTTTATTAAGGGATATATATGTTTTCGTTTTCTCTCCATCTGATCTCAGTATATTTATGCTGACACTTGACCTTTTCAAAAGTTATTTTTCCTGATTACAAAATAATTCAAATATAGAAATGTGCAAAGTAGAAAATAAAACTTTCCCATAATACCTCCCATTCTTCAAGGTAACCATTGATTGCCTTCTAGTTTTTTGTATTCTATGTGCTAGGTATGTTTAAAAGTCCACATATATTTATTTTTAACAAAATATAAGATCATAATATAAATACTGTCCTGCAACTTGTGTATTTTACTTAATACTTTGTCTAGGACACATTTCTCTACTTATATAGATCTATTTCATTCTTTTTTAACAGCTATAAAATGTCATAATTTGGCCATAGCATAATTTATTTAAAAATGCTTTTATTAACTAATATTCAGGTTCTTTGCGGTTTTTGCAACTACAAAAAAATGCTGCAATGAACATCTTTTTCCATATATTTTTGTGTACTTGTGTAAGTACATCTGTAGGATTAATTCTTAAACATAGATTGCTAGCTTAAAGGGTATCACACATTTAAATTTTAATAGGTATTGCTAAACTTGTCTTTTAAAACGCCTACTTTTACTTCCACAAGTGTCATGTAAGGCACTGTTACTGACACATGGCATTATAAATCTTTCCAGTCTTTTACAATCTGATAGGAGAAAAGTAGTACCTCACTGTTGTTTAACTTGCGTTTCTTCATTATTAGCTAGGTTGAACATATTACTTGTATATTTTCTTTGGCTCTTTATATTTCTTCTGTAAGTTTGACTGCTTTTTCTGTTGGGCTGTTCATCATTTTCACATTGGCTTATACATCTTCTGGATTATCTTGACCATCTTATTTTTTCTGGGGTTTAGGAGCCAAGTGAGAAGAAGGTACCTCTGGACATGTCGTTGTTCCTCAAGCTCCAGAAGCGGGTCACAGAGCTGGAGCAGGAGAAGCAGGTGATGCAGGATGAGCTGGACCGTAAGGAGGAGCAGGTGCTCCGCAGCAAGGCAAAGGTGTGCAGTGGTGTCTCACCCCAGGGCCGCAGGCAAACCAAGCACTGAGGCTGGAACTTTATGTCCTGTCTGCAGTTTCTTCTTAATGGAAGCTCAGCCCAGAAGTATTTTAACCAAGTAGGATTTGGTTCAAGTAATGAGGGCTGACCTCTCCTCACTGTTTTCTTCACAGCAAGGAAATAGTCTAAGAGTAAAAATGTAACAATTAAAATATAACTACTTATTGATAAATTAATTTATATATATATAAATTAATATACTTAATTTATATATTTCCTAGGAAGAAGAACGACCACAAATTAGAGGTGCAGAGCTGGAATATGAGTCACTCAAGGTAATGTGAAGTTTCTGCCCAAGACTTTAAATATCTTGTTCTATCAAGAGACCTGCTGAGAGCCTCTCTTTCTCAGAGAACATCTTTCAGGGTACCTGAGACCCTAGCTTAAGCCTTATTCAGGCGTTACTTCTAGACTTGTATTGTTTCCTTGTATAGGTTCTCTTCTGTATAAGGTGGGGTTCAGTCTAAATAGAAACAGGACCAGTAGCTGCCATTTGAGGTGTTAGAAGGTAGTAAAGGACATGGACTCTGGCATCAGACTGCCTGGGTTTACATGCTGAATCCACCACTATATGGCTGTGTGCAAGATATGTATCCTTTCTGAGCCTCAATTTTCTCATCTATAAAATGAGGATAATAATACTATTTATCTTATAGGACTATCGTGATGATTATATGAACTAATCCATGAAAACTGGTTAGAATAATGTCCAGGCTATATTTAATAGTGCCCAACAAATGTTGGTTGCTGTCATTATCATCATTTTTAAATATAAGTATTTTATATATCAGCTCTAATTCTTACAACAGTCCTGCAAGTCAGTATTTCAGTTCCTATTGTATAGATAAGAAAATTGAGGCTAAGAGATGTAAGTAACTTCCCTAAGAGCACCCCACTGGAAACTGACAGAAACAGGATTTGAACATTGGTGTCTCTGGCTTCAAACCCCATGCTCTAACCACCAAACCCCACTGAACGGTAGAGAAAGATAGCTAGGTATTAGTTTGCAGAGTAGAAACATGCTCTAACTTATTTTTTAAATTTCAAAATCTATTTTATTACAGCCAAAAGAGTGGAATTAACTGTACATAACAAACTATTTTATATATATACACATTTTAAGTTGTAGGGAGTAAAGTTTATTTTGGCAGAGAATGTTTAAAATTGGATACATTAATAACATAATTCAGTATTCTTAATTTGGTATAAGTGTGACACATTTCTAACTTATTTTTTAAAGAATAGTTGGGAGGAGAGGGATGAAGGTGGAGAATTTGTATCTTCTTAATGTTTAAAGGCAGTGTCTAACTCCCTGCCCCCCCCGAACCCCACAGCTCCTTCCTCTGGTTTCCAGAATCAGAACCTTTTGAACCCTGCAGTGTCTGAGCTATCAGGCTGTCAGCTCTCAAACCACCCCCAGCTTCAAAGGTTTTCTAAGTTGTTAGTATATTAGTCTTGAATTAATTCTTCTCAGATGTATTCTACTTATGTCAATTTTTTACTATTTTTCTACTTTTGTAAATTATAGTCTAGAATAGCTGGAAAATTATAGTAAGCTTTATGATTAAAGCAAACAAAGCTAAAAGTTAGAAAAGCCACAAAATAGTTTAAAGAAACTCATATTATTTTAAATCCTTTATGTATATTTGAGATTTCCTAGGGTCTCTCTAAGCTGTCCTGATTTTTCTTTTCTTTTACAGTAATATTACTTTAAGTCTAGTCCTGCTATATTATTTCCAAATGCTGTGATTTGGAACAGAATCATGACATTAATAGGCCCCTGTTCTCTGTGGATTTGCCACTTCCCACTGTCTAGAACTGCTGACTGCTTCTTCCTCTCTATGCTGTATGGCATCTTGGTACAGAGAATGCCTGTCCTTGACTGTACCCACACCCACAGCTCTTTTATCAGCTCCTTCCCATGAAGATAGATTTTTTTTTCTTTTTGTTTGTTTGTTAATTCTCAGCCAAGGATGTTTTTCCATTGATTTTTAGATAGAATTGAAGGGAATGGGGGAGAGAGAGAAACATCTGTGTGAGAGACTGGTTGCCTCCTGCACAACCCCGACCAGGGCCAGAGATTGAACATGCAACCCAGGTATGTACCCTTGACCAGGAATCAAACCCATGACCTTTCGGTCTGAGGGCCAGTACTCTAATCACTTAGCCATACTGGCCAGGGCTAGAATTTTTTAACTGAGATTTAATAAACACTTGACTAATAATGCTTGTGTTTATAGTTTGAAAAGTGTTTCCTATGCCTTATCTTATTTAGTAATTGTCACAACTTCTGAGATAAGTTTTTTATTTTGTTTTGTTTCAGGATTACTATTCTGGGTCTTAGTAGGACCAATTAAGAGATGTACTCTCAGATGGTAGCGTTTGGTCTTGAATCCAGGTCTCCAGACTAAGAAAAAATTTTAAACATTCTAGGTTCTTATCACTTGTTTGAAAACTAATTTTTACAAAAATATATAGTATTTACTTCTAAAACACCCTAAAGGACCCTTTATGCTTTGTAGTTGCAACAGGAATAAATCTCTTGCTCCTGCAATGAAAGTACTACTTGAATAGTGTTTATATTTGTGGAAAGATAAAAGGGTGGCAGCAGGTGGTCCTCTCTGTTATTCTTACTTTCATTGCCTTTAGCATTCTCTCTCTAGAAGACCAAATCATGATATGGATCATACAAGACAGTAGCATCAACCTCAGCTGGTAACTTGGAAATGCAAATTCGGATGCAGAAGCTCTGGGGGTGGGGCCCAGCAACCTGTCCAGGTGATCCCGATGCACTTTGAAGTTTGGGAAAGACTCATCAGAGCCTAGGTGTCAAAGAAAACACAGTCATATATTTTCTGTTGCAGAAATGAGCAATGCAAGTCTGAGTACCAGTTGGTGGGAGACTGGGGATAGGAAGGAGCATTCTTTTTCATGTAAGAATGGATTAATTCATGAAAGAAAGGTTTATTTATTCTTAAACTAGAAAAAAAAAGGACTAAATAGTTTTACTATAACATGTTGAAAGGTCTGATATGGTGCAACAAATACCAGATTGCCTCTCTGGAAGAAACAAAGTGTTTTCTCTTTATACAGAGGTACCTTATGTTCACTATTATAAGGCTAAATAAGTCATCATGGTGTTTTTATTGAAATTTTTTTTTTCAATTACAGTTAACATTCAATATTATTTTGTATTAGTTTCAGGTATAACCATGGTGCTTTAAAATGACTGTCTACTTCACTGTTTCTCAACTGGCATTCTGTGACATTTGTGTTCTAGTGCCAGTAAATATAGTTTAATGTCAGAACTCTATTCTGGGTTCCCACTGCCATTGTTTGAGCAGAATGTGCACAGGGCAGCACCAAATGGTAGCATAAGGATGGCTGGTAGCATGTGCAAATATGGAGGGGGTAAAGGATGTGTGTGTCCATCTGAACAGCTGAAGGAGGAGGTGGCCCATCCTCTTCTCCCACCTTGCAAAGCTTCTGCCAGCAACTTCACAAGCAATGTCACACAGGAAAGAAGTGTGGAAAAAAACTATTTGCGCTCTCTTCAGCAGCACATATGCTAAAATTGGAACAATACAGAGAAGATTAGCATGGCCCCTGCACAAGGATCACACAAAAATTTGTGAAGCGTTCCATATTTTCAAAAAAAGATTATTTGTTGTCATTGAAACGCTAAAGGGAATTTTATTAGTTTAAGTGATGTGGTAATTTTTTTTTTTTTAATCAGAAGTTAAAAGCCTAAGATTTCCGTGGTCTTTTCATTGTTTTACAAAGGAAATAAAAGGATGCAACTTTTTTTCAGGGGTCTACCATTTGAACTGTACATTAGAAATAATCTAACAAGCTGGACCCTCATAGTTGGCCTTATATTTACCCACAAATAAAACCTGGGCTTCCTAGGACTGGGCTAAACCCATCCCTTGGAATTCAACAATCCCTCTAGGCCTCTGAACACAAGTTGGGCAGGCCTGGAATAAATTTGACTCTGGAATTTAGGTTGATGAAGCAAACTACCATTCACCTTGCTCAATTTTACTTGTTGTCAGACTTCCTCAATTTGCAGAGCAGAGTTCCCAGTAGAACCTGGGAAGCCATTCACTAGGGTAGCTCTGCTCATCTTTTCCAGCAGAATTCTTCTACCGTCTTGGGGGAAGATGAGCACTCCAATGTAAAGTTGAGGATGACAGCGATGAACTATTCTTTGTCTCTACACAGCGTCAAGAACTAGAATCAGAAAACAAAAAACTGAAAAATGAGCTAAATGAGTTACGAAAGGCCCTTAGTGAGAAAAGTGCCCCAGAGGTGACTGCTCCAGGCGCACCAGCATACCGTGTCCTCATGGAGCAGCTAACCTCTGTGAGTGAGGAGCTGGATGTCCGCAAGGAGGAGGTCCTCATCTTGAGGTCTCAGCTGGTGAGCCAGAAAGAGGCCATCCAACCCAAGGTAAGCACAAGCAAGTGGCTAGAGAGGGTGCTTGGGTACTGGCCTCTGTTTCTGTCTATCTATTCCCTCCAATGTATAATGAAGCAAACATTTAAGAGCATTTTCTTATCATTAAAAAAAAAAATCTGTGTTGTTTTAAAACTGTTGCAAATGGCACTTGGCTGGTGTGGCTCTGTGGATTGAGCGTCGTCCCATGGACTGAGAGGTCCCTGTTCGATTCCTGGTCAGGGCACATGCCCAGGTTTCAGACTCAGTCCCCAATAGGGGGCGTGCAGGAGGCAGCCGGTCAGTGTTTCTCTCTCACATTGATGTTTCTATCTCTCTCTCCCTTCTCTTTCTAAAAAAAAATCAATAAAACATATATAAAAATACAAAAACTATTGCTAATGGCAATTGGAATGAGCAAAAAGCAAGTGAAATCCCAAATGGTTTTCAAAGTCTCATCTCTTATTCATGATCCAGAGACTGTTTCTGAGAGAGGGAAGAGAGAGATAAAAACATCGATCTGCTGCCTCCTGCACGCCCTCCACTGTGGACTGAACCCGCAACCCGGGCATGTGCCTTGACCCAGAATCAAATCGGGACCTCTCAGTCCATGGGACAGCACTCAATCCATTGACCCACTCAGGCTGGGTGAGCCAAGTTTTTTTTTTAATCCTTGCCCCTGAGGACATTTTTGCATTCATCTTCAGATAGAGCGGGAGGGAGAGAGGGAGGAAGAGAGAGAGAGAGAAACGTTGATGTGAGAGAGACACATTGACTGGCTGCCACCCACACGACTCCAACCAGGGCTGGGGACAAACTGCCACCTAGGTACATGCCCTTAGTGGGAACTGAACCTGGGACTCTCCAGTCCACGGGCCAATGCTTTAACCGCTGAGCCAAACCAGCCAGGGCAGCCAAGGGTTTTTAAAATGAATTTTCTTGTAGTAATTTGGCCACAAATAAAATTCTGTCAAGTACACAAGTCCATAAATTGTCTTGCTGTGGAAAGGCATTAATATACTTTAAAATTATTTGTTGAAGATAGTCTGTTTAACTGGAAAATAGCATGGAAATATTAGAAGTAAAATCAGTAAGTGGAAGTTACATGGAGATGATTTCTGCTCACTTCAGGGAGTTCTGTTTAATAGGGGAGCTGTTTCAGCAGGGTGAGGCTGTGTATAGTGATTCAACAGGAAGGACTCACCCTGGAGGATGTAAAAGCCGTTTGAAGTCCTTTCCTACCCTCCGGTATTTTGAGACCTAGCACTGCCATATGCTGATCAGAAATGAGCCTTTGTGTCATTTGCCCTCAGACAAAAATGATCTGAGTAATCATTGTAAAGCCTGGCCTATGTCCTGCCGGTGTTCATGCAGCAAAGTTTTACCAAGACTTGAGGCAATCAGCTGTCCCAACTGCGTGACATGCCAAATACAATATGACCGTGATATGTGATGAACTGGATGCCTGAAAGAACCGAGAGTGCTTCTCTTTGACATGGCAGTGCTGCATGTGGCAAAGAGGCCAAGCCTGGCACGTAGGATTGGATTTGATAACAGCTCTCACTAGGATTAACACTAACCCAGAAAATATCAAATTCTGGAAAATCCCCGTGACAAATGGAGTTATATAAAGAAGTGGCCTTCCTTATTTTAAAACAAATCACAAACCCCTTAAGTCTGAAATGAGAAGTTGGAGAATAGGAGTCTCTTTTTTGGCTTGGCCCTACATATACACATCTTGCCTACCGTGGGGCTGTCTTAGTTGGTTCCCATGATGACCACTCAAGTAACAGGGCTGCCTCTGCATGCTAGCTGGAGCAGTCCGCAGTCAGGATTCCTTTCTCTGGTTCCCTCGTGACAAATTGGTATTGTCATAAGAAACTTCAGTAAAAGTTAAGGGAAAGGAAAAGAAAACCGAACCAAGAGGCATAAAAACAATCTAGCTAACAGAGCACATAGTTCTGGGATCACACACCCTCACCCAGCTCACGTACTCCATATGACAGCTGCTTGCCAGCCCCTGATGGGCTGGCCCTGTGTAACCGAGGTTTCTGCTCTCTGAACTCCCAGCTTACACATGGCAGCAGGTTGTCCTGTCCTAAGAAAAATGCCCATTATGCTGATTCAGACCTTTCAAATACCCCAGGGTTCTTTGTCCCACTCAGTTTCTAGTCATAGACACATCATTTCACAACTTCTTTGTAGGACAGTGGTGACACGCAGTGAGCAAGGTGATGATCCAGCCCAGCCCAGCCAGGTCTAGTTTATCTGCTCCACCTTCGTGAGCATTCTAGGAGGCTGTACTTGGACAAATGACCTGTCAGGGCATTACTGTAACTCTCACAGATCCTGGAAAAGAATTTCACCCATGTACATTAACAGGAGGGTCATTCTTTCACATGCTCAAAAATACTTTACAATAAAATGTGCAAAAAGAATTTCAAGCACCTGTTCCTGAGAATTGAGACTTGCTATCACATAGATATATGTTAATGTCCACCTCATACCAGTTCCATGAATATTAATTTATTTATTGAGTTCATTTTAGGGAAATAATCTTGATTGTTTTTTGCAGTTAGCTTTTATTTGTTATGATGGAGAATCAATGATAGAATTTATTTATGGAACTACGGTTTTATTGTTTATTTGTTTTGTTTTTTTTGTGTGCTTGCTGACTTGTGATTTTCAGGATGACAAGGTAATTATAAAATTTTTAGTAAATACTATTTAATCCTAATTTTAGTTTACAAATATCCCTCAATATATGCAATTGATGCTCTCTGGCCACCAAGTCTATTTTTATATTTACAAATTGATTTCCTATTTTGACCCCTTCGTATTTGGGAAGTCAGTAGGAAAATGTAGATGTAGTAGTCTCCAGTCTGGCTCACAGAGAGGCCTCCATGACTTCTAATCAGAGCCAGCTCTGTGGCTTACTATGGTAGTTGTGGCAGGCCATCCACAAGTAGGGGAGGGAAGCCCTGAACTTGGAGCACACACAAAAGCACAGGCTCTCTCATGCTGGCATGTCCACCAGCTATGGGTTTGTTGACCAAGGGTGAAGAGGAGCCTGAGTTGCTGAGCACGCCTGGGAAGGGTGGGATTTTCCTACCTGGTTCAACCCTTTGGGGACTTCTGGTCACTGGTTTGGGGGAGACAAACTGAGCAGTGAGTCAGGAACGTGCTAATGCTGGTGGTCTAAACCTGACCCCATGCCCTAGCCACCACCTCTTAGCTAAGATAGCCAGATAAGGGAAGCACTGGCTACTTACTCTCAGGACAGCAACATATGACGAAGCCTACCTTTGTTTTGATTAGTTAATTAGATCAAGTTACCTAATTTACTAAAAGTTCAAAACCACATCCTGTAGGTAGGTTCTAAGATATCAGAGAATAAATACATGTAGCATTATAGAACCTTGGCCTTTGAGAGTTATTACTTAAAACTTAAGAATCTGAGTATGGCCCTTTATGGAATAGAAAGATTTTCTTCCTTTCAGGAAAAGAGAAAAGATAAATGTTCTATGAAATGTATACCAAAATATTTATAAAAATAGCTGAAGAAATGCTGTTTGTGGTGTTTACGGGAAAGATGTTTAAAATTCAATAAAATATAAGCTTTTGTTAACAGCTTTTATCAGATTATATTTGGTCTTCTCTAAGGATATATTTATAAACTCAAAAGAATAGCATTAGGAGAAAAGTGGGATTTTTTTATAGGATATTTTTTATAAACACTGAAATTCAAAAGCAGGTATTTGTAGGCCTCTAGTAGGCATTCATGTTATTTTGAAACTGGTCTCTAAGATCCTCATATTTGAAGTGTATTCTGTGGACACATTTCGTTGTGCAGTCTGGCCGTAGAGCAAACATGGACCAAAGGATCAGACCTATACCGTTTAGACAAGTAGAATGGCCCCTTGGGTTCCAAAGTGTATTCTTTTTTAGAGACTGTAGAACAGTGGTTCTTACTGTATATTTTTGCTCTGGTTAAGGAGAGAGAGGTGCTCTGGAGGGGCAGCGTTGTGGTAGACACATAAATACGCAAATATGTTGTATATGAGCCAAAGCTGGTGAGTTGGATTTTAAGGTGGAAATGTGTCATTTTCCCTCAGAATACAATGACGGATTCCACAGTACTTTTGGAAGATGTACAAAAAATGAAAGATAAAGGTGAAATAGCACAAGCGTACATTGGTCTGAAAGAAACAAACAGGTAAGTTGATCCTGTTTTGAATTCGTTTTGGTTTAGTCATATTGATCTTTAGTCTTCAAGCCTCTTGTACAGTAAGTCAAAGTATTTATACATTGCTTTAATAGTCATCAACTAACTTTCAAAGGGAATCCAAGTTTTTCAATATATTCAATAAAATCTTATTTATAGCATAAGGTAGATTATTGATGAGAGGTGTCAGGGAAAATGCTCTTCACATCAGGGCAAATATGTCTGTATCTTTAAGGTCTTAACCTTGAGAAGAAAACCAGTTGCTCATTCTTGTACTGTTTTTGGGTAGTCACTTTCATTTGTTATTCAGGCTGGTTATTTGTGAAGGTTTGTAGGGGTGACTGCAGCATTCAGTAATCAGAATTTAATGTGAAGAGAAATGATGAAGTATCTGGAATCATATTAGTATCAGCCATGTAATTCTAAAAGGGCTCCATAATTTCTAGGGTGGGATCCTGACATTTGAGACCTCATCTTTGTCATATTCCCTAAGGTGTTCTAAGAAAATCCTAACTCTGGTTTTATTCCATTTGCTGGAAATGTGAGTGGAATGCAGGTGGCACTTAGCTCAGTCGCTGTACATTTAACCTGAGGTGGGCTGGCTGAGAATGCAGGATTTGCACCATCACTAAATGACTGAACTTTCCCAAAGCTTTTTCTGTAGCTGAAATTATATTACAGAATAAAGGCTCATCTCTGGAATTCTGTCAGCCTTCCTCTCACCCCCTTCCCAACAGAGCCTTGGTGCTACTGAACTCTGAACTTAAAAGACGACATGCTTAAAGGAATATGGCCAGTGTCACAGAGAAAGACAGTTCTGGAGATTTTTATTATCAGTGTGCTGTCTGGGCCTCCTGGTGCATAGTACCATGACTGGTCTGTAGAAATACTTCACAAACTAAAGAATATGTTCTTTTCTGGGCAAGGGTAGAGAATGTTTATAAAAGTATTTGGTTAAACTTGAATTTTAATTAATGAATGTAAATTATAAATAACTAAACTTGTAGCTAAACTTGTGTAAGTATAAAAATAGCTAGATTACACTGCTCACCCATCCACTCAGCTGTTCAACGACCAGGTATACATTGCATGCTGATTTCATGCCAGCCCTGTGCCACGTATTGGGAATAGAGCAGTTAGCAAGGTAAATGCATTCCTTACTTTCACAGGGTTTTAGGCTTTTGGGGAGACAGCCAAGAAAATTTGGACTTTACTTCAATGATAGTGGAAGCTGTTGAAAGAGTTTAAGTAGAAGAGTGATATAACAAGATTTAAATTTTAGAAATCTAACCCTGGCATTTATGTTAGAGAATAGATTGTAATATAACAAGATTAAAAGCGTAAAGACCAGTTAAGAGGCTGTTACTATCAATGAGTGACTGATTATGATGACTTTGACTTGGTTGGTGACATCTGGGATTGAGAGAAATGGGACACTTTGAAGATACATAAGAAGATGAGGTCAGTAAGCCTTGTGTTTTATTGGTTGTGAGGAATAGGGATCGTGAAGGATAACTCTGAAGTGTCTGCTGTGGATACTTGGGTGGATGTGGTGATGCCACTTTGTGATCCTGGTCTGGGGTGTAGGGAAGTGTGGGCCAGAGATCATTGGTAGATTTAAGATATTGAATATAAGGAGCTAGGAAGACATTGAGGAGATAAATCCATTAGGCATTTGAAAATATAGATCTGAAGCAGGAGAGATGTGTGGACTGAAATATAAATGTTGACATCATCAGCATATAATAATACAATTGAGTCCATGCAAATAGATCAATCTTCAGGGAGAGATAGCAGGTAGAAAATAGAAGAACACGCTCTGGAATTTGTTTTATGTAAACATTGTATCAATAATAGAAGTCTAAGAGGAGGACTCACTCAGAACCTGGGCTCTGGTGCCAGATAGCCCTGAGCTCCACTACTTTCCAGCTGTGTAACCTCCATGGGATCTTACTGCTAAGCCTCCATGTCTTTCTCTGCAGTGTGTCTTTCTCTCCAGTGGGTTACCGGGAGAACTAAATGAAATAATATATGCGGTAGGACACTTAGCAAACACTCAAAAATATTATTTTAATACCCTAGGTAGGAAAACCCTGTAATCAAGCATGTTATACATACTTTCAATAAAATGTGTCACATCATTAATATAAAAACAGTTTCCCTAGGTCTTAAAATTAATTTTGATGCAAAGAAAAAGGTCTTCTAAAAGTTGTGTCATAAAAGCTGAAAACTTTGCACATATTCTTATTTATGAGTTACCCCTCATACATATGAGTTTTTTTAAACTTAGGAAATCAGATTTTATTAAGTTAAAAGAATTAAACTTTCATTTTTGAAATGGATTGTGAAGATCGCCACACGAAGACAATAGCTGCAGTTTTCCTGTGTGTGTGACTGTCGTGGTTAGTCTCTAATATCCTAAGTGACATATAAGATCACTCCACTAGCTGAATAAAATGTTAAAAATAGAACTTCTTTCTCACCTTTTGAATTATTTCTTATTTTGCAGGAAAAGTAGCTGTAGGTCCTTGATTATTTTGTTTTAAATTCTACCCATTTACATGTTACACATTATTTAAAAAATTAACCAAAAGTAATTTTTTGTGAAATGTCTTAAGTTATCTGTAATTAACAAAAACACTATATTGACAATAAAATAAGTGAAATATGATGTGATGCTGTTGACCGTCATCATCTCATTCCCATCCTGTGTCCCTTTGTGTTTTGCATCATTGTTCCTTTGCATGGAAGACCATCTGCTATGGATTGCCATGAGTTGAATGAGGATGGAGAGCTGTGGCTGGTTTATGAAGGGTTAAAACAAGCCAACAGGTTATATTTGTCTCCTCAAAATGGAATGTTATTAATTTGTTGTTTTCCTTACTAACAGTGGCCTCCTGACTTTAAATTTTATATTTCTTGTACATTAATTGTCTTCCTAGGTAAATTTTAGTAAAGCTTAGAGCATTCACCCAAATACCGTCCTAAAAACCCTCTCTACTAAGGGATGCTATTAAAGCTGAAATAGATTGGTGAGTATAAGAGTTGCTGTCCATAAGTGAAAGATGCTATCTAGAATTCCCTTCACACACTAAAATTTGTGGCTATCTCACTAGGAGTTGGAAGTAAACCAAAACCTTTTATCTAGAGCTCAAACTACTGTGGGGACAGATTAATACTTATTACTTAGTAGTTTCTTGTTTGGAATAATGATCAGTCTAAAGGAGATCTGTGCCTATGGCAGTGTGGCTACATCCTTATATGTTATTGTCATGCTGCTTAGCAGCAGTGTTAAGTACATGATTTGGCATTCTGTGTGGCTACTGTGAAGTTCAAATATGTGAAACAGCAAATCAGGAGGGTTTCCTGCATTGCTACAGTGAAAAATAACTACCCAGACTCAACATGTTAAATATTGTTAGGGGAAAGCAAATAAAACTGAAACAGCTACACCTTTCTGACACAGACACTCCTCTGCTCTAGTGATATTTGTGTCTTAAAAATCTCACAAAAATGCCATTTTAGTGATTAAGTTTTAAAAATACTTAATATGCTGTTTGTTCAAGGGATTTCTGCTTTGTTTGTTCTAATCATAAACCATTGTCATTAACTTTGTGGAGTTATTGGTTCAAATCCTCTTGAAATTTTATACTCATTAAAATATTTTTAGTCTACTTTTAACAGTTTGCTTGCAATGGCATCAATAAACTTTGCCCAGCAGTTCGTAACCAGGGGATTAGAATAAAAGAACATCTTTTCTTTCTTCCTGCCAATTAATTCCTAACTGTAACTTTGTTTTGTGTTTAGAAAAGGGGTGAATGTAGAAGTGGGGCTTCGGGGTGCGTGGTAAAGGGAGGGTGCTATTTCTCTCTGCTATTCTCACTCCTGATGCCCTGGTTTGTTACGGGCACAGCTGACTTGTGTGTTTGCCCAGAGAAGCAGTAACCACTGGTTGGTCCTATTAATATTTATGTTCGTTCTAAAACCATGTCTTGTTAGGATTCTGTTACTGATAGGGAAGTTTATGGGGAGAAACAATTTAAAATATTTGTGTATGAAATTTCAGAACTACCTATCTGGATTTGGGTAAAGATATATATATATTTATTTCAGAAAAGCACTTCAGCCTTTGTGTTCTTCACAGACAAGATGAAGCCCTGGTTGTACCCTCTGCCTGAAATTAGTAATGCTGAAATTCTTGAAAGCATATTTAATTAGATCATGAGTTTGTAGTCTTGATTCATAGTGCAGTTGTTTTGTGGTGAAGGTACTGTCTTTGCCAACTTCAATGCCAGTTTGTAAATATAGTCAGCCAGATTAAAGCTCTGTCTTTTAATTGATTATGTTTTTAATTTATTAAAAAAAATTTTTTTTGTATTGATTTTAGAGAGAGAGGAAGGCAGAGGGAGAGAAAGAGAGAAACATCGATGCGAGAGAACATCAGTTGGCTGCTTCCTGCATGCCCCTCACTGGGGATTTGGCCCCTAACCTGGTCCTGTGCCCTGACCAGGAATCGAATCAGCGAACCCTTGGTGCATGCGTTGACGCTCTACCACTGAGCCACACCAGCCAGACTGATTATTTTATTCATCATTCCTGTGAACCTCTCAAAAGAGCTAAAACTCTCCTGCTTCTTAGGGCCTTTGAGAACTTTATATTTGGAGCAGGGTCCACAATTCAGAAAGATACAAATGTGAGAACATTCATGTCCATTTCTGGTCGTGTTTGAGTTTCCTGACTTTAATTAAGTCAGAAATTACACAGATGCTTGAGTCCTGGCTTTTCCTGACCTTGCAAGTGAGCACGAAGCCTCACCCCCACCAGGCAGGGACTCTCCTGTCATCGCCCTCTCCTAGTTGTGTGGCTTCTCCACAGGCTCCTGGAATCCCAGCTCCAGTCACAGAAGAGGAGCCATGAGAACGAGGCTGAAGCCCTGCGAGGGGAGATCCAGAGCCTGAAGGAAGAGAACAACCGGCAGCAGCAGCTGCTGGCACAGAACCTGCAGCTGCCCCCCGAGGCCCGCATCGAGGCCAGCCTGCAGCACGAGATCACCCGGCTGACCAACGAAAACTTGGTAAGGACAGGTGCCTGCGCCACTCAGTCCTCAGCGGGCAGGGCCTGGCTCTGCAGGGTGCTCCTGGTTTCTTGTTGGGAAGGCTCCCTGCCCCAGACTTGTTATCCTCTCACTCAGCAGAGGCAGAGGGAGAGGGAGAGGACTCTGTTGGCAGAAAAGGACAAGGCATATATGCAGGTGTGTTTCTCACAGAAGGCTCTCTCAGACCTAATTTGGAAGGAATCAACTAGTTGTATGCCAGGCCTTTGATATCCTCGAGAACTCAAGTGGCCACTTTGCTTCCACTGCAGAACCTCTGCCATTCTCTGTCATTTGTTATGTGGTTGTTGGGACAGAGACTGCTTTGTTCACCTTTGCTTCCAAGCAGCCACTGAGGCCACCTCAGCCTCCATCTGTAGCAGACAAGTTGGGGTTAGAGTTATGGTTTGGTAAGGAAGTTGGCAGAACCAACGGGGCATTGGGGGGTGGGTGCTTTGGGTTGACATTGGCTAGAGCTCCCAGGTCAGGGAGGAGAGACGGCAGGGTGCAAGTTTATGCATTCTTTATTCTTTTTAACAGAGCTGTGCAGTGAATGAGAAGAGGGTTTTTTTCCCTTGCCAGATTCTGAACACTGGCACAAGCGTTTTTTTCTTTCTTTCACAGAAGTATTTTTTAGAATATTTCTTTCATAGTCACAAAATAACTTTTATTACAGATGTATAGATTTTTAAATTTACTTAAATTTGATAAGTATATTTATTAAATTAAAAGCCATTAAAAGTAAAATTCCATGGTTTTTTTTTTTTTTTTTTGCTTTTACTTGTATTAGTCTTTATTTTATGCTGAATTTACTCCCGGGCCATAAGTTTTTGTTTCTTCAGTTTCTTCTGGGATATCTTTTTCTTCTGTGCAACCTCCTCTTCTGGTTTAGGAACAGTCTGCTCTCTCTCAGTGAGGATCTTCTCAATGTGGCAGGGAGAGCTCATGTATGGGTTAATCCGCCCATGGGCTCTCTAAGTTCTACGGCGCATCTTGGGAGCTTTGTTTACCTGGATGTGCTCAATAACCAGAGAATCTACATCTAAACCCTTAAGTTCAGCATTGCTCTCTGCATTTTTAAGCAGGTGCAGCAAAAACCCAGCACTCTTTTTGGGCCACCGACCCTGTGTCCAGCCCCACTGTTTGGCCTGGGCCCACCTACCAACTTCACCATTGTCACGACGGAAAGGCACACATTGCTTCTGTGAAGTGACAGCCTTCAGATACTTGGTGGCTTTTCGAATATGCATACCTTTGATGGCCTGGGCAGTTTCCCAAGTGTTCTTAAAGTGAACACGAAGATTTGAACCTCTTGACGTGCATGATTTTATGGGGTTTTCTGGGTCAAGTGAATAGCGAACCATTTTCAGAGGTCACCTCTGGTCGCTTTTGGGAAAAGTGTAAAATTCCATGTTTCTATATAAAATCTATATTGTAGATTCAGCCTGGTTTTGAGAAAAGCTGTTTAGGATTTGTAGTGTTTTGTCTTCTTTTCTTCTTTTTTTAAATTCAAGGTTTTAATGATTTATAATAAATAGTTTGGACTTTCTCTGAAGATTTAACAGTCTGAATTATTCCTCCATTGTTCCATTAGTGGTTATTTTATGTTACAAATAGTCTTCTAGTGTCATCTATTTAACCATCTCGTAATCAAAAGCAAAACCGAAAGGTGTTCTTCCCACAGCCCGCCTGTCCCTGCGCGGACAGGAGCACAACGTGCTGTGGGAGGCTCCGCTGTGGGGGAGTCGGAGGAGGCTGAGGGCAGTGTGCGCACTTCTCCGAGGGACTGAAATAGCACTCATTTGTTGGGGACATCTTCTGAATCATGAACTATTTTTGAAATGTCATTTTATTATTCTCAAGTGTATTGTTGCTTAAATTTAACTAACAATGCTTAAATGCCTAAGAATTGATAAATATACTAAATAATATAATAACAGTTGATCAGTGTATAAATTTTTTGCTTATAAATGATAGTCTTCAAATACCAGGTGAAACCGTGAGGTAAAGATGCTTCTGGGTGGCAGATTCCCAGTTTTTTCACCAAGTTGATTAAGCATTTCACTTGCAACCTTGTCTATAGTATTAATTTTGTAGGTAATTTTCCATAGCTAATACAAAAATAAACTAAACCCCCAAATTCTAAGTTGGTGGTCTAGTTAATGAGTTTGAGGTTTAGGAAAACCTTTGTAGGTCAGCTGCTTCTCCTGCCTCACTGACTGCTAATTCAGGAGAATGGATTCAAACAAGTACAGGGAATGATTCACTTTTTCAAAATCATTGTAGTTTCTCGGTCTTAATTGTGTAATTCTTTAGGAGGCACTGAGCAGAATATTAAAGCAACTGTGAACCTAGGAAACACTACGCTGTGTAACCCACCCATTCGCCCCCCAACACACACAGAGACAGTTTTTCTCCCTCCTCTAGTGAACATGCTTCACAGGCCTCCCCCTTGTGCCTTTTAGGGAAGGCGGAGGCACACAGCTTCTCCTCAGCCTGTACACCTTCAGACAACAGTGCCAATGTGGCCACTGTTCCCACTTTCATTGTACCTGCCTCCCCTACCCTTGCCACAGCTGTGGCCACAAAAAGTGCAGCAACTTGTGAGCAGGTCTAAGGAGTGAAATTATAGCAGCCTTTTGGGGGACTGTGGACCCCCACTTTGTTTACCTGCTAAATGATGGCATCCTCTGAGCAAGTGAAAATGTGTGTGTGTGTGTGTGTGTGTGTGTGTACACACACATATATATATACTTAGGATTGTCTGTACCAGAAAGATCAGAGGGCAGTGGCAGATGACAAATCAGAGCCTTTTCAGTATATACAGTTTCATTATTTATGTCTTAAAATATTTTAAAATTGATTTTGTTGAGAGGTGGCATTCCCCCTCAAAGACACCGAGAGAAACAAATATCCATTGTGCCTGTTTTTTCAGTATTTTGAGGAATTATATGCAGATGACCCTAAGAAGTATCAATCTTATCGGATTTCACTTTACAAACGGATGATTGTATGTAAACTCAGAGTGCCTTTCTGTTGTCTTTCTTGCTACTCTGGCTCTCTCTAACCTAGGGGCCGCCTGCTCCTCCCCAGGAAGTCTCTTCAGATACTTTCATGAAACCTGTTTCTCCCCACAGCTGTCTTTCAGCCAGTGTCCTGCATCTGTTGTCGTATTTGGTTTGTTATTAACACCAGGCTTGCAGTGTGATGGAAGTCAAGAGTCAAAAGCCCCTACCTAAGTTCAACTGTCCTTAAAACCTTCCACAGAACTTTTTGTACATTCATCAAAACTTATTTTGCCTCTCCCTCCTTTAAAAGAAAATGTTCCACTGGAATAGCAGTACATTTTACCAGCATTTAATTGTTTTAACCACATATAGTCTCCTGGAAAAGACTCCCCAATGAGCCTGCTATCCATCACGCTGTAAAAGATGTTGCTGCATCATATAGTTTAACATTTGGCTTTTATTCTAGCTGCATTTCCCATGCCTGCCAGTTTTAGCCAGGTGGTGGCTCCACCAATGAGCTTTTCTGTGAAACTAACAGTGCTGTTTCTGTGATTTTTGTGTCTGCTTTCCTTCTGTGCATTTTAGAAGACCTATTTTGATCTTTCTGTTATATTTCTCATTTTGATCTGTAGGATTTGATGGAACAACTTGAAAAACAAGATAAGACTGTCCGGAAACTGAAAAAACAACTGAAAGTATTTGCCAAAAAAATTGGTGAACTAGAAGGTATATTAAACATATTTTATGACAATTGCTGAGTCTTAGTTTTGTATTGATATACTAGCAGCCTAATAGGTTTGCATGCAAATATTGGGGATGATAAAAATGCTTTTCAGCAAACCTAGTGTCTGTGGAGTAGATGCTTCCATTGCGAGGTAGGGGAAATGTGTTTTCATTGTAGTAAAAATTTACCAAGTGGGAGAATCCATTTAACAAACATCAGTGACTATCTCCTGTATGTCAGGTACTGTGTAGGCAGTGTAGCATAGAGGTTAAGAGCATGGATTCTGGAGCCAAGCCTCTTGGGTTCAAATCTTGACCTTCTCCAGTTAGTCATCTGATACTGGGCAAGTTACTGAACCTCTCAATGCCTCAGTTTTCCCACCTGTGGAGTGGAAATATAATGGTGTACCTGACATAGGTTGTAAAGATTAAATGAGTTAATGCATGTATTGCATAACTCTAGTTCCTGACACATAGTAAATGCTGTATACAACTGTTATTCTTAGTATTAGGGATACTAAGATGAGTAAGACAAAGTCTCTATCCTCAAAGAACTTACTGTCTAATGCAGATAAAAAGAGAAGTAAATAAGAAAAAATGAATTATGATTATAAAGAAATAAGATTTTAAAAAACATGATTTATATACGATGACAATGGGAAAAAAACTTAAGAATGAATCAAATATCAGTTGTTATTATATACAAGTGAATCTCATCTTGTAGATTAGTGTGTTTGTTCCTTCAGGAGATGTTTATCCAAATGCCAGGAATATAGCAGCAGTCAGGTCTCAAGCCAAATTCTAAGTTTATTCCAATAATACTCTCATTGTTCAAGAGATTTAGGGAACCTCTTTGGAATTTCCTTCAAATCTATGCAAACTATTATCAATTTGAACGAAAATGACACTGTGTAGGCTGACCACCCATCTGTTCTCTCAGAGCCTCTCTGACTAATTTTGCCTGGCTCAAAGGGTGAAGAGTCCCTAATACTGGGAATGTTCATAATAACCTAACCTACCATGATTCACGCTGTGGTTTTCATTCCCCAACATGCCAGGCCTATCATAACTGTTTCTTCTGTTTGGTCTTTCTGTTTCTCTTGGTCAAGTCTGGTCAAGATCAGAGTCGTATGTCACATCCTCAAGAGCATCCTTTCCTGATCACCCAGACAGACCTTATGGTTCCACTCACGTCTTCTGTGGTTTTCACTGTCATATTTTTTAGATATTTTTGTGTTTGAATTACTGGCTTCCTCAGTGGACTCTGAGCATGGGACCACCTCTTACTTCCCATTCTTTTCACAGCAGCTCAAGTAGTATCTGACTTATCCTAATCATTCCATAAATGTTTGCTGAATGAATAAATAATTTTCAGAAATATTTAGAATGGCAGTGTGGATGTTCACTCTGAAGAGGATAATATTCCCTTGGATATACAAATGTTGAAATATTTATTTAGAAATCAGATAGATTGCTTTGCTGTCCTATTTTATATATAATCCTTTAGCATTATGTGACTCAGGTATTACATGTTGGAATAACTTTTGAACCTCCAGAACACATACGTAGGCTAAAGCATGTATTGGCAGAACTTTAGAAACCTTTACTCACAGAACATTTTTGCACGTAACTCTGCACTGGTTATAGCATGAGATAATAATGAGACAGCAGAGTATTTGCTTGAAAGAAATTGATTTCAAGGGTATTGATATGTGAGATTATTTTTTAAAACTCCTAATGGTTTCACTTGTTACTTTAAGGTTTTACTCAGCTTTCTTTGATATATGTGTGTGTGTGTCCTCACTCGAGGATATTTTTCCATTTTTCTTCAGATAGAGTGGGAGGGAGGGAAGGAGAGAGAGAGAAACAGAAACCTCAGTGTGAAAGAGATACATCGATTTGTTGCGTTCTGCATGACCAGGGCCAGGGATCAAACTGCAACTGAGGTACATGCCCTTGACCAAAATTGAACCCGTGACTCTTTGGTCTGTGGGCCAACACTCTCACCACTGAGCCAAATCAGCCAAGGCTGATATGCATATTTTTAATTGAAGAGATAGATTAGAATATTTCAAGATGTTAGAAATTTTAAGCCATTTTCCATCAGAAATCAACTCATCAATTAAACTATCATTGCCAGCTGTGTTCTTAAACCTGTAAGTAGCACTTCTGAAGGAAATTCACAGATTAAACAAAAAGGACATTACAATATCCTTAAGAAAAATTGAGTTAAATGATACATGTCTAAAGAATAAAATGAAATCAGCTTATTTGATCTGGGCACTTGCTTAGAGCAGTATTCTCCCGCCTCCCCAAATTAGAGAATGAAGGTGACAGGCTCTTCCAACACTTTACTCCTCTGAACCCCTTACTGCCATGGTTCAGAGAACACTGGCGACCTTGTACAACCAAGCACCCTCTAACATCTACAAGTCTTATATATATATATATATATATATATATATATATATATATATTCTTTTATAATAATTTTTTTTCTTTATTGATTTTAGAGAGAGAGGAAGGGAGAGGGAGAGAGAGAAATAGAAACATCGATGAGAGAGAACATCGATTGGCCGCCTCCTGCATGCCCCCAACTGGGGATTAGACCCACAACCTGGGCATGTGTCTTGACTGGGAGTTGAACTAGCGACCTCTTGGTGCATGGGTCAGTGCTCAACCACTGAGCCACACCAGCCGGGCAAGGCTTCTTATATTTTTAGAAATATATATTATAATATACTTAAATTCTTCTGGATTAAAATAACAGGATTCTTGCCTCCTACTATGGGTTATACTTAATTATGGAGACTGTTTTAGAAACCAATGAAAACTTTTTAATACACCAACATATATAATTTTAGCAGAAATTACATAGCTAAATACAGTGTTTCAAAATTTGATGTACTTTGTGTTGTATTTTAATCCAGAGTGGGTGTTCCATGTCAATTTTCGTTGAGTCAAGGAATTTAGACCTTAAAAAATTCTAGAAATGAGTTAATCATTATATAGGAGAAAAAAACTGAGGCCCACAAACCATAAGCAACTTTTTTTTTTTATCTTCACCCGAGGACATGTTTTCATTTTTTGTTCAGATAGAGCGGGAGGGAGAGAGAGGAAGAGAGAGAGAGAGAGAAACATTGACGTGAAGCGTACACATCGAGTAGCTGCCACCTGCACAACCAACCAGGGCCGGGGACAAACTGCAACCGAGGTACATGCCCTTAGTGGGAACTGAACCCAGGTCTTTCTGGACCACAGGCCAATGCTGTAACCACTAAGCCAAACTAGCCAGGGCCATAAGCGACTTCTAAGGTCTCAGCCAGTTAATGGCCAAACTAGAACTAGAATCCAAACTTCTGAGGACCCTTAACCTCTCTCTTTTGTGTCATATTTTCCAATAGAATCTTTCCATTTATGGGAGTTTATTTGACTGTCGCAATTAAACCTGAGGTCAAGATCTTCTTGGTACGAAAGTGAGGAAAAATAAATTATGAAAAAATTCTAGTGTCCTTTTCTAGGACAAAAAGGTTCAGCAATATTTACCCTCAAGTATAAAGAATCTATGAAATAGCCCTGGCCAGTTTGGCTCAGCGGTTGAGCATTGGCCTGCGGACCAGAGAGTCCCAGGTTTGGTTCTCGCTAAGGGCACGTACCACCAAAAAAAAAAAAAAAAAAGAATCTATGAAATAGAAATAGGGATTGCTTCAGGTCTTTCTAGAAGAATGTCAGTATTAGATGGAGAGTTGGACTGAATGATCCCCCACGGTCTCTTGCATCTTTGTAAACTGGGGTGGTGTCCTGGCTTCTCTCTTTTAGACTTTATGTTTTCCTGATGCTGTACAACGGTTGGCATTTCATTTCATTAGTAGATGATTTGTTAAATGAATCAAGATTATATTGAGCTACATCTATATGTTTTTTATTGACTGATTTGAGAGAGAGAAAGAAGCATCTACTTGTTGTTCCACTTATTTATGCATTCAGTGGTTGATTCTTGTATGTGTCCTGACAGGGATCTAACCCACAATCTAGATGTATTGGGATGATGCTCTAACCAACTGAGCTACCTGGCCAGGGCTGACATCTATATTTTATCTGTGAGGTTTTTTTTAAGACTCTAATCTCTAGGCACAATTCAGAGGCAGAAAGAAAAAATTTAACTGAAGTATGGCAAATTTTGTCTTTGACATTTTTAGACAGAACCTAAAATATCTTGGTTAGAGATTTTGCAAAAGGAAAGTGAAGCTTTTAAAAAAAAAAAAAAAAAAAAAACATGAACTCTCAGTAAAAATATTCACCATATTTCATAAATTCTGAAGTGCATAATTTTTGACATTTTAACATCTTTGAAATCAGGATGTGTATTACAACTGTTGATGGGTTATAGTTTAACTGGCAGTGTTTTCCTTCTTTAGTGTTATATAAAATAATGGTATTTCATAATCTGGCACCACAGGTATGATGAAATCAGTAGGTTTAAAGCATTCTCTTTGCATCACATGGAGTTCAAATATATACATTTATTGATAATACGCTGAATCTATTTCCTCCCAGTTTCTCCTCTTAGGATTGTTTCTGTGGCTGAACGTGACTAGTAATCTAGATAGCAGGGATTTTATTATTTTGTATTTTATATGCAACATGTACGTGGGCTGTAAAAGCCACTTTGTGCGGATTTCAAGATCCTGGTTGCCATTGTGTTTAAACTGACTCCAGGAATAATTTATGTAAAACTAAATAGTTTGCATCGTCTCTCCCATGTTGAAGCACACATTTTACAGTTAGTCCATGGCTTCTGGGCTGCATCTGCACATGAAGCACCAGGTGCCACCGCCCTGATTGACCACAGTGTGATTGCTCCTTAGACATCATAGCGTTGACGGACGGTGGCGGTTTTCAGTGCCCGTAGTCCTGCGCATAAGGCTGCAGCAGGAGCACTGGCAGGAATTGGTGTTCTTTCTGATAACCTCTTCCCGGGGAACTGGCTTCCCAGACCTCACACAGGAATTGCCCAGGAGCAACCGGAGAAGCAGGAAGCACGACTGACACCTTGTGGAGTCGGCAACATTAAACTTTCTGAAGCCTCTGATCTGCACTTTGTCAAGTCTCCGAACCAAGAGCTAATCAACACCTAAACCGATTCTTAACCACCCCCTTCCTGTAGAGAAAACAACCTGCTTATTAGATTGTGTCTGCACAAACACCCCTGTAACTCTAACACGTGTGTTCCCAGACCTTCTCTTGCATTTCCCATTCAGTTCTCAATTTTGAGCTGACATTGGAGGCTTTTTTTGAATCCTTAGCATAATTCTTCTCCAGTGGTTGCTACTGACAGTGGTGACCATTTTAAACCTCTGAACGGGCTGTTAACCAGTGGTTGTGATTTAATGGTTGCAACTTCATGGGGGGACTGTTAGCACTTTGTTAGACACAAACAAACAAAAAAACGGAATCATATGTAATAAATCACATTAAATAGTGGTGGTTTTATCTGCCCTTAGGGAATGAGAGGTAGTCTTTGCCTTGGAAACCTTGGTGAAAAATAATACATTTGACCCTGGCCAGGCAGTTTAGTTCTTTAGAGCATCTGCCCTATACCCCAAGGTTGTGTGTTCCATTCTTAGGGCACATATGGGAATCAACCAATGACTCTATAAATAAGTAGGACGACAAATCTGAGTGTGTGTGTCTGTCTCCCTCCCTTTCTCCCTTCCTTTCTCTCTCAAATCAATAAATTAAAAATAATTTAAATAAAAAGAACAATAACACATTGCACATCAACTAGTATGAAGAAACATTATCCTACCAGCTCTCTCTATGTGGTTTGAACTGATTGCAATGATACATTTAAATGTTCTTTTTCTTTAATGACTAGATTAATAGAGCTAAAGATGAGGGGAGTCTTCTACACTCCTTCCTCTTTGTAGAATATTATGTTTTTCCTTCTGTGATTTAAAGTCTAAATATCTTTAACCATTATGATTGAAAATGATTCATTACCCAAAAAGTTAAACCACTTACTTTAAGGACATTTAATTTTATTACAGAGTAAATTTATTACCAAAAAATGCTTTTGAATCAAGTAAGGTTCTATCAGTGACATTACCATAGAATTTTGCCATCTGTAGCCAATTTTAGCAGAAAAAGCATGTATTTATTTTTAATCTTTTTTTTTCTTTATTGATTTTTAGAGGGAGAGGGAGAGAGATAGAAACTTCGATGAGAGAGAACATCCATTGGCTACCTCTTGTATGCCCCCACCGGGGATTGGGCCCACAACTTGGGCATGTGCCCTGACCAGGAATTGAACCAGTGACCTCCTGGTGCATGGGTCGATGCTCAACCACTGAGCCACACCGGCTGGGCAGAAAAAGCATTTAAAGAGAGAACAATGAAGTGGCAAATATGGCATGTTTCTGCTGTAGAATTCATCATTTAAAATTATAGGAACATGGAACCTTTTCATCTTTTCTACCTGGAAAACATTTTATTCTCCATTTTGTTTCTCACAAAGTGGGCCAGATGGAGAACATATCCCCAGGACAGATCATTGACGAACCCATCCGTCCAGTCAACATTCCCAGGAAAGAAAAGGATTTCCAAGGAATGCTGGAATACAAGAAGGAGGATGAGCAAAAACTTGTTAAGAACCTGATTCTAGGCAAGTATTTTCTTTTCTTTTCTTTCTTTCTTTTTTTTTTTTTTTTTTGGCTTAAACAATAGACACTTATTTCTCCCAGTTCTGGAGGCTAGGAAGTCCCAGATCAAGGTGCCAGTTAGTTTGGCTCCTGACGAGACCTTTCTTGCCAGCTTACCAACAGGCCTCTTCTGGCTGTGTGGTCACATAAACGAGAGAAGGAGTCAGGGAGGAAGGAAGGGGCAATATTTTCTGCATGGGATAAAAGGTCTTTCTGGTACACGTGTCAGTGGTGGGAAAGACTAGTACTCATTTTTGAAATATTCAACATCAGTTTCTTCAGTCATCATTACATACTGTGCAGTATAGTGCCACAGAAGCATCCTGATCACGTCATGTGTTATCAATCACACAGCAGGGACATTGACTAGTGGATAAGCCCACCTATAAGGATCCCTTGAGGTCAGGTCTTCTGAGCTCCAGCTGCATGTTAGACTAACCTGGGAAGCTTTGAAAGTATTGTTGTATGGTCTCCACCACAGACTGATTATATCAAAATCTAGAGCAGAGAGCCCGGCCATGTCTAATATTTTTAAAATATTTCAATGGATGATTGAAGTGTAGCCACAGTTGAACACCACTGCTCTAGGGCATTTAAGTTCCCGAATTTCTGTATTCCTTTCTTCCCTAGAAAGTGTGTGACTAAATACAACAATAAACAACAGTTCAGTAATAGGGGGTAAAAACACAGAAGAATTAAGGAAAATATTCCAGCAATGGAAGGAAATGGGTGTGGAAGAAGCATTTCAGAGCAGCCTGAGGCCTTGACGATTGGGTGTGCGCCCACAGATTCTGCAAGAATACTTTTTAGAGGAGGGTGGGAAATGGTGAGGGAGTGTACAAAGCCTGAAAGTTGTAAACTGGAAAAGCCGACAACCTCTCAGCCTTTGCATAGCATTCCTCCCCATGCCTGGGTGACAGCAGTGTGACTGGCAGTCATACCTGAGGCTCCTGGCATAAACTTAGTACTATATATAGGTGCAGAGGTGCTAAAGTTTCAACTTGATCTTCATTTAGCAAAAGTATAAAAGAGCCACTGGCTTTTTAGCACAGAGTTTAAGCAAAGATTCATCAGTTCAATAAACATTTAGTATGCTGTTACCATGTGTCAAGCATTTTCCAGGTACTGGGTAACAAAGTAAAGTCTCCATTCTCATAGAACATACATCCCAGTGCCAGAGAAAATAGAGGAAAAAATAAACAACTATATCATGGGGTGAAAGGATAAAGAATGAAGGCAGGTGTATTAGTTTATATAAAGTTGTTAGGAAAGGTCTTTTGATAAGGTGATCGTATGCTGATGATATCTGAGGCAAGAACATTCCAGGCAGAAAATAGTACGTAGGCGCTGGCGTGGGATCGTGCCTCGCATGTTCAGGCAAGAGCGTTTTACTGGAGCACAGTGACCTGGGGAAGGGGAATGGGCAGGTCACACAGACCTTGGTGAGGCTTTTATTTTGTGAACGAATGAGGTGAGAAGGTTTCATAACGAGAGGGACAGGATCTGATGGACATTTTCTTCTAGAATAACTCTGGTGGTTGTGTGAAAGTGTACTACTGAGAGCAAGGGATGGATCAGAGACCAGTCTGGAAGCTCCCACTACAATCCGAGAGAAGGTGATGGGGACCTAGACTAGGGCGGCTAGTTGTTGGGTTCTGGATGTGTTTTGTAGGTAGAGCCAACAGGATTTATTGGATTAGATGTGTGGTGTGAGAAAAAGAAGAGTCAAAGGCAATGACAAGGTTTAAAACCTGAGAAACTGAAAGGCTGGAGCTGTCATTTGTGGAGATGGAGACAAGTCCTGGAAGAGCAGGTACCACAGGAATCAAGTTTGGTTTGAATGGGCTCAGTTTGATGTGTCTGAGCTGAGATGTCAAGAAGGCAGTTGATACAGGAGACTGGGATTCAAGGGAAAGGTTGGGGCAGGAGATAGAAATTTGGGAGTTGTCATTTCATAGACAACTAAAAGTAACACGTTCCCACCATCAAGAACTTCTCTTACTAAACTATTAAAATACGCTTTTTACATGACCTATTTATCCTGAATGATTGAACTCTTACCTGAGAATTGTGCTTTTATTATCTCTCAAAGCTCTTCTCATGAAGACTTTCAATGTTATATAATATTATTTTTCTCTCTTCTTTTTGCAGAACTGAAGCCACGTGGTGTAGCAGTCAATTTGATTCCAGGGTTACCAGCATATATCCTGTTCATGTGTGTTCGACATGCCGACTACCTGAATGATGATCAGAAAGTGAGGTCACTGCTAACATCGACAATTAACAGCATCAAAAAAGTATTAAAGGTCAGTTCACATTCACAGAAATTCTCATGATGAACGTTAGTGATAGAATCTACACATAGGTACTTTTCCTGTCTTAGCCTTGAACTGAGTTGCCAGTTATGAACACTTTCCAGTCTTAACTGTTACCTTCCACTGTAGGAAATAGTCTTTCTTACAAACTGTCTGTGTGCCTTCCTTCAAAACAGGGCTCAGGATGAACAGTCACCAAAACTAATTTGATATAATTGCATTTAATTGTGGAGTAAATTGTTTTTTCATAGACATAGTCCACTTTAAGGTCTTACTTAGAAGTAAATTTAAAATATTTGTGGAGTCTATTATATATAGGGTATATGATGCTGTAGTTAAAATAGGTATTAAATGAGTTCAATAATACGTGGCTCATTCATATAAAAAGATATTTGATGAAATATTAAAATTTTTTTTCAAACTTTTCTTCCCATTTTTATTCAATTCACCCAAAAATTTTCTTGTAACCTAAAATGTCTGATTCCATGTGAGAAGCAAGACACAGATACTAGTCAGAAAGGAAAGCCTTGGAAAAGGCAGCAAAATGAGTGCTAGAGCAGAAAGTCCTACAGAACAACTCAGCGGTCACTAAGTCACGTTGCGTGACCCTCCTCCAGCTCTGAAAGACAGTGGACGTTAGTCGCAGTTTGAAGTCAGGTGTTTCTGTGAGGCCAAGAGAATGTGCTCCAGGTGCTTCGCTTTCTGATGATCTGCCTGAAGGAGACCTTTCAGGACGGAGATACGTGTGTAGTCAACATGCCCAGTGGACATGCAAATCTAAGATGTCTTTTATGAAATACATTTTTTTAAACTTGTGAATTGTTTATTTTTGGAATGTTCTACTAATATTTTTATTTTTTTAATCTTTAAATATTTTATTTTATTTTTGTTACAGATGTTTCTCCTTTTTTTCCCCATTGACACCCTCCTCCCCATCCCCCCACCCCGTCCCCGGCTTTGGTGTCCATGTCCGTTGGTTATGCGTACATGCATATAAGTTCTGTAGTTTATCTCTTCCCACCCCCCACCACCCCCTCTTCTGAGGGTTGTCAGTCTGTGGTGAAATAGGCATAACAAAATATTATACCATCTAACTGTTTTTTTAAATCCTCAGGAATATGTTTTTGTTTGTTTATTTGTTATTGATTTGAAAGAGAGAGAGAAGAAAATAAAAACATTTTGATGTGAGAGAGAAAAACCAGCTGGTTGCTTCCTATATGTGCCCTGACCGGGAATTGAACCCATGACCTTTTGGTGTACAGAACGATGCTCCAACCAACTGAGCTACCTGGCCAGGGCTTAACTGTTTTTCAGTGTACAGCTCTGTGCATTAAGGACATCACATTGCTGTGCAGCCATCACCACCATGTGTCTCCAGAGCTCCTTCGTCCTCCCCGCCTGGAACCTGCCCCTGTGGAACACCCGCCCCCCCAGCACCTGGTCATGAATTTTTGACAAATGCTGGTTCTCAGCCTTTATTGCTAAGATATCCTATGTAGTTACATTCCATAGTGGTTACTAAAGCATTGAGTTTCTGAAGATTTAACATTTAAAAATTGATGAATGTCTTCTGAATATAATTCATTTAATTTTTGGTATATTGATGTTATATTGTGCTTAGCTAGACTAGAAGTTTTACTTTTTTTTTTTTTATCCTCACTTGAGGATATTTTTCCATCTTTTGTTCAGATAGAGTGGGAGGGAGAGAGAGGAAGAGAGAGAGAGGGGAAGAGAGAGAGAGACACACACATCGAGTGGCTGCCTCCACACCACCCAACCAGGGCCGGGGACAGACTGCAACTGAGGTACGTGCCCTTAGCGGGAACCAAACCTGGGTCTCTCTGGACCGCAGGCCGATGTTCTAACCACTGAGCCAAACTGGCCAGGGCAGTTGTACTATTTCTTGAGTCAACTTTTACAAAGACAGCAAAACCAAATTACAGTTTTCTCCCTCTCATTTTTTTTTTTAATCCTCACCTGAGGATATTTTTCTATTTATCTTCAGATAGAGAGGGAAGGAGGGAGAAAAAGGGAGGGGGAGAGAAACATCGATGTGAGAGGGACAGTTGACTGGTTGCCCTCCACAAGATTCTGACCAGGGCCGGGGACGAACTGCAACTAAGGCACATGCCCTTGACCAGAATCGAGCCCGAGACTCATTGGTCTGTAGGCTGATGCTATAACCGCTAAGCCAAGCTGGCCAGGGCTCTCTCTTTCATTTTAATTGCAAGAAGACATTTACTGTATTCTAATTTGACTAATTATTGTACCAAATTGTTTCAAGATTAAAAAAGAGAGGGTACTAGAGTAAAACACCCTTTTGATACCATTTAAAATTGGTGTGCATTTCTCACATTTTTCGAATTGAAGTATGTTTGTGTTGTGGCCCTGTTTTGATTTAGCAATGGGTTTTTGGACATGTGTTCCAGTCCTGAAGAAGACCCAAGCAGCTTCCCCTGTCTGCTGCTCTGTACTGGACTTCCTTCACCCCATTTCTGATTCACCGCTCAGAATTTGATTCTTGTGGCCCAGCCGGTTTTGCGTCATCCCGTGGCCCAAAGTGTTGCCAATTTATTTCCGGTCACAGCACATGCCTGGTTGTGAGCTCAATCCCCCTCAGCGATCGATGTTCTGTTCTCACATTGATGTTTCTCTCTCTCTCTCTCCCCCTTCCCCTTCCTCTCCAAAAAAAAAAAAAAAAAAAAAAATCAATAAAAAATATTTTAAAAAATTGTATCTTATCACTGATAAGATTTTTAACCTAATCTAGGTTTCAGTGCTTCACAATCTTTGTGATTCTCTTTTGTGCTTTATAATTGTTTGTAATGGTAACTGAAAGAAATGAGCCTTCTGGTAACTGTTCAGTTATTTTCAGGTTGTTGTTTCCTTAAGGAAAAAGCAAACTTAGGCTTATTCTGTCTTTCAGAAAAGAGGTGACGATTTCGAAGCTGTTTCCTTCTGGCTCTCCAACACCTGCCGGTTTTTGCACTGTTTGAAGCAGTACAGCGGGGAGGAGGTGAGGAAACCCGTTACAAAACCAGCGTCCTGTACTTTCTCTGATCTTTTTAAGGAAAATGTTTAACTATTTGTTAATTTAGAAACCTGAATTCAGAGATGGCTTGGGAGTTCATAACTTTGTTTGATGTTTATTATTTATGGAACAGTGACTGGGGAAATAACAATGTTTTCCCCTCTGAGGGAAAACACAGTAGAAATAAGATGCGCATTGGTCAATGAATAGTTGCAGCAATGAAACTTTTTGTCAATATATGTGGAAGTAGGCTATTCAAGGACTATTTTTAAAAATTACTTTTAGCTTCTTATAGTGCATTAAAGGTGGTAAGTTAAGATGTGTCTCTTTAAATTTGTCCAGAAGTCTGTTTCACTTGTTTGTAGTGATGTGTTCAGCAGACTTCATTTTTTCAGAACTGCGGTATGTTAATAATTACTATTTATTAAGGGCTGCTTAGTATGCATCAGATAGCTCTTACTATACACTGTGTTACTTAATTCTTACAACAGTTCTGTGAGGTAGGGATTGTCACCCAGTTTTACAGACAAGGAAACTGAAGCTCAGTGAAGCCCCTCAGTTTCCCAAGTCCTCCCAGCCATACGGAGCAGAGCTGGAATTCTGGGTCTGCCCACCTCCGAGAGCCTGTGCCCACCCTCCCCTCCGCACCCCGCGCCCTTCGCCAGGAGGGTAGACAGAGAGGCTGAGTGGCAGCACTGTCTAAGCACCCAGACAGAGGCAGGGGCAGAGTACTGTCCTGGGAAATGATGGGAAATGCAAATCTGAGCAAGATGTGGGCCCTGAGAAGACGGGCCTGCCAGACCAGAGTTCCCCAGGGGGGCCGCTGACGGTCCTGTCAGCCCCACTCTGGACCGTGTTGGTGAGGACTGCGGGCAGGGGCCATCGAGCAGACTGTTGCTTTGTCAGGCGCGCTGACAAAAGTACCTTCCTCTGCAGTGGCTTTCCATTTTAACAAATACCACCAAAAGATGAAGATTGTGTATGCGTACCCTGAAAGGAAAGGAAAGTTTTTATTTTTCCCCAGTCCCTGTAGAAATCGATCTGTTTTAAGATTATGTATGCCCTTTGGGTACAGTGTTCATAGAAAGCACTGTATTTAATGAACTGATGTTTAAAGAGGTTAGTACTTTAGGCAGTTTAGTGTTTAGCAGTAAACCTCCTGTTTCATAAATGAATCACATTAATTTTTTTTTTTTATCTTTGCCTGAGCACATTTTTGCATTTATCTTCAGATAGAACGGGAGGGAGAGAAGGGGGAAGAGAGAGAGAGAAACATCGATGTGAGAGAGACACATTGACTTCCACCCCCACGGCCCCAACCAGGGCTGGGGACAAACTGCAACTGAGGTTCGTGTCCTTAGTGGGAACCAAACCGGGACTCTCTGGGCCACAGGCTGACGCTCTAACCGCTGAGCATACCGGCCAGGGCCACATTATTTTTTTTTAATCCTCAAGAGAGGATATGTTTTTATTGATTTTAAAGAGGGAGGAAGGGAGAGAGAAAAACATCGATGAGTTGCCTCCTGTACGTGTCCCAGCCAGGACCAGGAATTGAACCAGTGATCTTTGGTACACAGGATAACACTCCAAACAACTGAGCCACACCAGCCAGGGCAAATTTTTTTTTTTTATCCTCACCCGAGGACATTTTTCCATTTTTTGTTCAGATAGAGTGGGAGGGAGAGAGAGGAAGAGAGAGAGAGAGAAACATCGATGTGAAAGGGACACATCGAGTGGCTGCCACCCGCACGACCAACCAGGGCCGGGGACAAACTGCAACCGAGGTACGTGCCCTTAGCGGGAACCGAACCCGGGTCTCTCTACCGCAGGCCGATGCTCCAACCGCTGAGCCAAACCGGCCAGGGAGGGCAGCCAGGGCAAATTTTTAAAAACTTAAGTTCTCCCATCTTATTTTATTGACATTGCTATTGGAAAGGCTTACATGCTAGGTTGCCGAGTTTAGGTATTATTCAAAAGCTGGTAAGACATGGAATTTTTAACGTGGAAACAAACACACACAGCATTGAAAATGATTATCTTGGCATTGATGCATGGGATGGACGGAACCCTTGGATAGGAGAAGATGAGCAGGAAGATGCTGACGAAACGAGTTAGACAGCAGAGGCATTCGACTTTATGCGCATCATTAACTTCTCATTGTGGTTCTAGGGCTTTATGAAGCACAACACATCTCGCCAGAACGAACACTGCCTCACCAACTTCGACCTGGCTGAGTACCGGCAGGTGCTGAGTGACCTGGCCATTCAGATCTACCAGCAGCTCGTGCGGGTGTTAGAGAACATCCTGCAGCCCATGATCGGTAAGGCCAGGGTGTTGCTCACATCGAGGTCTGTCTGCCTCACGTGCCCACCAGTAGATGACCCCCAGTGGCATGTGTTCCAGGGCATGCACTCAAATGGAGAACATGAATAGGGAGACTCAGTCTTAAAATTAGCTGAGGGCTCCCAGAACATGGGATGTTAGCCACGAATAGCGGATACATCAGCACCACTGCTTCCACGTGATCAGAACGGCAGCGTCTAGTTCCCTCCCCAGTGCAGTGCCTCTCTCAAGGTTGGGTCATGCTTTATACCCAGCAGTAGACTTTGTTCCTTGTCCAGTTTTAAAAAACACTTTAAACTTTGGTCTAGGAAACTACTACACCACTCCATCTAAAGCTGAGGCGGCTGGGGAGGGTTTGCACTTTGCCTAATTGGCTACAGTAAAAGGATTGGGGGGTGTGCCATGGCAACAGAACAGGTCTCAGACACCCCAGTCTAAGTTGTCCATCTCATGGCCCCTCTGGAATTGTTAAAGGCAATTTGGTATAATGCAGCAGTTTCTTTTTCGATGAGCCACTGTGTGTGTGTTTCTATTTATGTATATTGTATTCAGTTAATTGTGTGATTCCATGTACTTTTCTTCATATGTGCACTCATTCTGAATGTTTATGTATGTAGTGTGCTACACTTTGGAATGTGTAGCATGTTTGAAATAGGAATTAGGAGGCATGTACAAATTGCAGGCTACTGATTTTGAATGTATTGAATTAAATTTTTTATTTAACTTATCAAAATCTTATCTTCAGGCAAATTATCAGCAGCCTCTGAAGACTGCTCCCAGCTGCCCTTTCTTGCTCCACCCATGTGTTTTCCTCATTTCCACAACTTTATTTCCCTTCTCTGGGCTCATAGTGTTCCATTTTCTATCGTAAACCCACAATCAGACAACTAGAAACATAAAAGGCTGAGGAAACCATGTGAATCAGCAGTATTTCCTCAGTCGTCCCCTGAATAAACTTAAAGCAGCCTAGGTCAGCTGAAAGGCAAGAGGTGACAGATGCAAAGGTCAGCTCCAGCCCACCTGTTTTTCTATTTTTGCCTGTTTTTAGTGGCTAAACAAGAAGTTTACCTCTAAGGTGTCCCACTCAAACCTACCACCCCATCTCCCAGGGATTTGACAACAGTGTTGAGGTTCCTCTGCATGAGGTTCTGTGGAAGTATGTTCAGTACTAGGAGAAAGACAAGTGAATCAAGCATGGCCCTTGCTCTCAGGAGTGGCCATCCCAAAACCATCCTAGAGGACACTTCAGCCACATGCTGTGAGAGCACCAGGGAGGGAGCAGCAGTGCTCGAGGTGAGACCGAGTCCTGGGAGGCGGAGGCTAACCCAGGTCCCCTTCCATTGTAGGAAGTTCAGGGCCGGGAAGGGCCCAGCTCTCCGGCCCTGCACAACTGCCCCCTCCCAAGTCTTCTCCAAGACCTCTGCCCAGGCTCCTGCCTTTCTTGCCACTTGATTTGTTTGCCGTCCATTTGTTGGAACTCACATAGTGCTAGAGAGTGCTCATCTTCTCTTTAACTGCTGCATGCCTCTCTCAAACCCTCCTAAGGCACCACACCCTAGTGCTAGTACAAGGCTGCTGCTGCTTAGTTTAGAAAGTGCACCATTAAGATCTCTTAATTTCATGGTAAATTTTTGTATTTAAGAATTATTCCTTTACTAAGGTTGAAAACCCAGACACCTTTTTTTTAGGAAGTTTTTTTTTCCCTCTATTTTGATGCTCAGGTGATTTTCCTAAACTGAATGTGTGTATGCACATGAAATGGTTTCCTTCCAGATGTTATCTTCTAACTACTCTTTAAACTTGAATTACTCCTGCAGTCTCAGGCATGCTGGAGCACGAGACCATTCAGGGTGTGTCCGGGGTGAAGCCCACAGGGCTGAGGAAGCGGACCTCCAGCATCGCAGATGAGGGCACCTACACACTGGACTCCATTCTCCGGCAGCTCAACTCCTTCCACTCGGTCATGTGTCAACATGGCATGGACCCCGAACTGATCAAGCAGGTGGTCAAGCAGATGTTCTACATCGTGGGGGCCATCACACTGAACAACCTCCTCCTGAGGAAGGACATGTGCTCCTGGAGCAAAGGCATGCAGATCAGGTGAGCCAGCGCCAACACATGACAGCCTCTTCTCACTGCCCAGCTCTCCGCACGCTCCCGGAGAGCTGAGGGCGTGTTTGAGGTCAGGGCACCTGTCTGCAGCCACCAGCCAAGCAGCGAGGGAAGAGCGGGCATGGAGCCGCTTCCTCCTCCTGGCTGGACCTCTCCACTGTTAGTCACTGTTGCTCCTGGCTGTGCCTCCAGCAGGTCCACGGACTGCTTGCGAGGAATCCTGCTCCACTGTGAAGCTCACGTCACACTGGAGAGACGACAAAATGTATAAAAATGTGATAGCTGCTTCCTCTTCTTTTGTGTGTGTTTTAATTGTATAATAACAAAATATTAAATGATAAGATTTATAATGTTTGATTACTTTTAGAAATTTATTTTAACAAAATACTTTCTGTACCCATGGCCACAAGAGCATGTCTAACAGGTGTTTTACTAACACTTGAATGTGCCCCTGGATGTTTTAGGAAGAGCTGCATTCAGTGTGGTGTCAGCTACTTCTCAGCACTACCTCTTTATCGCAATAGAATTGATTTATTTTGCAAGTAATTTATTTTAGAACAGCCATAATATTCACCAAGAGGGGAAAGGGGTGGGTGTTGGGGGGTTCTTCTACGAAAGTCCAGTTACTCAGTCTCAGGAAACCTTGGCATTCTTTTCCAGTTTCTCATTCCGCCCACATCCATTGTAGTTAACATTAAGAAGATAATGCCTCATACCCAGGTAGCAGAATTTCTCTGTAAGCTTTGTTTATACACATGAAGCACCTGTTGTAATATAATTCCTCCTGTTTGCCTGATTATCAAGTTCTGATTGTGTGTCCTTTTGTCTCACTTTATTGAGAACCACTGTTACTTGGTTGGCCACCTCTTGATACCTCAGCATCTGTGTAGTTTCTTGGGGTCTTTGTCTCTTCCAGTGGCTCCCACTTGCCTTTCTTTCCTTCTATCCCGGAGCTTCCTCAGGCCACTGTCTCCATCACCCAGGCTTTTCCCTAAAGAGGCTGGAGCACAAAGCCTGTGTGAGGTTGTCATTCAGTTGGACTTAAGAGAGAGAGGACTTAAAGGATGGTCAGCTCTCACTCTGAAGTTGTAAGAGGAGCCAGAGTGTTTCTGGCCAGCTGTTTAATGAGGACATAGCCTGTCATGTGTTTTGTTTTATCTTCCAACCCCTCTCATTTCACTTCTGCTATAGTGGCTACTTTGTCTTACATTAAAGATAATTATATCTCTAATCTCTTACATAATTATGATTGTAAACCTCATGACTTTTTATAATCATCATTTTTAGGTATAGCTGATAAGATTTAAGAAAAGCGAACAAGAATACAGCCTGTCATTTTAACTGAAATTCCTGACAAAGCCACAGAAAATGAAGACATTTATGACAACATGCAGTAAATTTGCCCCCCCTCTCGGTGCAGGTACAATGTCAGTCAGCTGGAAGAGTGGCTGCGTGACAAGAATCTGATGAACAGTGGGGCTAAAGAAACCCTGGAACCTCTCATTCAGGCTGCTCAGCTTTTGCAAGTGAAAAAGAAAACAGATGATGATGCAGAAGCCATTTGCTCCATGTGCAACGCTTTGACTACTGCCCAGGTAAAGCACCTTTCCCTACTGTGAAATAATGCAGCATTCACCAAGGGTGATACTTGGGCAAATGAAGTCTAGCTATTGCTCTTGTCTCGGGGCTGACTTCCCTGCGTCAGAGAAGATACAGATCTGTACAGATCTTGAAGAAAGATTTTACCAGGAAGTAACACATTTCAGTGTGAGTCACAGTCATCTGCACTCCACATTCACTGAACATGTCTTGTCTGAGTATTCTGCATACTGTCCCCGGCACTGAGAACAACCACACGTGGAACCGAGTCCCTGCTCTAGTGGGGCAGACCTGTGCCTCCTGTGGAGCTTGTATTCCAAAACATAATTTTCCGTATTGTTCCGTAACTGAACGATTCTGTAGACTTCTTTATTAAGACAGATCATTTTTATTTCTTCAATTCAAAAAAGATGAATTGAGTTCCTAACATACATGTTGCTGGGGGAGATACTTCACTATATAAGGAAGACTCCCTGTTGAAAAGGGACTTCGAGGTTAGTAGGGAAGACTGATGTGCCCCCTGATTGTGCAGTACGGGGCTGCAGCAAGTTCAGTGGTCAGGTGTCCAAAGACGTGCTGCAGGGCGGTGACCGACTGTGTTCAGAGCAGGTGCCATCAGGCAGGGCACTGAAGTTCAGGAGAAGGGGAGGGAGGACATGGGAGACCACAGCAACAGCCTGAGGGAGGCATAGGCATCAGCGTGCCAGTTGTCATGTGCCCGTTGTTTATGTGCTCACTCCTGGACTTGCAGTGTCCATCACAGAGCCATGCCATGGAGCTCTGACACAGGGATCGATAGGAAGTAGCTAGAAGGGCAGTAAGGACACGGTCAAAAATCGCCACTTCGGGAGACAGGGCAGATGGGAGCCGGGGCGCTTTTACTTCTCATGTTGTGTTCTTTTGTACAGTTTGATGTTTTTCCAAATATACATTGCTTCTTAAAATGTACAAAGATTAATAAATTTTTATTATAACATTCAAATAATAAAGGCACATTTGCCCTCAGACGGTCTCCCTCTCCCCTCCCGTCCCACGGCCCTAGGTAGAATTGAAATCTGTGCACACAGGGCCTCAGTTGTCCAGATTACAAGCCCCCAGTGCGCATTTGATAATATGTTGAAAACTTTGATCATTTTATTTCTCACAGATCGTCAAAGTACTGAATTTGTATACGCCAGTTAATGAGTTTGAAGAGAGAGTCTCTGTGTCATTTATTCGTACTATACAGGTAAGATCTCCAAGGCTCTTTTTTTCCCTTCACCAACACAGTATTTTGAATGGAAAATTTACAGTTTGTTGAAGGATAGTATTTTTTATTATCTTATTTTTATAGTGCATTACTTTTTTGATAACAGCTTATTGGAAAATAAAGTGATTTTAAAGCAAATGTAAACATTATTCAGTTGGGGGAATTTTTGGTAGGTTTTTGGCAAAAGAAAATTTTCTTTATAGTCAAAGAATTGATGCTCTGTTTGTTTTTTAATCTCCTCAGATGCGTTTACGAGACAGGAAGGACTCTCCTCAGCTGCTCATGGATGCTAAGCACATCTTTCCCGTCACCTTCCCTTTCAATCCGTCCTCCCTCGCGCTGGAGACCATCCAGATCCCCGCCAGCCTGGGCCTGGGCTTCATATCCCGGGTCTGAACATGATGCCAGGCAAACAGGGCTGACACACTTCTTGCCTGAAATAAGAACCTATTATTTCCAGTCAGCAACTGAGAACACATTTTTAAAGAAGATGTGGTGATTATCTTCCAAACTAGAGGTTATTAACTGGAAATCTCCCCAGAGTACTTTCACCACCGTGGAGAGGACGTCACACTCCTTTGTGCTGTGTTCCCTTTTAGCAGTACTCACCCTGGTTATTGGGTCCCCCGAGTTTACATGCAGGTGAATGACGGAAGGAGGGAAAATGTGTCTTCAGCTGCCAGCATTTATTTTAAATCCTTAGCACTGCATCTAAACGGTAAAAGAAAACAAATTCCAGATATGAGCTGTTTTTAGGACGGTACCAACAGAGAACCTCCTGTGTGTAACCAGAGGAAAAAATGCTGTTGAGTACATATCATGTCAGTTTAGGAATCAACATTGATGTTGTCAAACTGGATCAAAGAAATAAACTGGCAGTATGTATAGGAGCTGGAAAAGTAACTCCCTTATATGTGTCATTATGACATAGAGATATTAAGAGAATGCTGGTTTGTTGTATAGCATAGAAGTCCATTTGTACTGTAGTTTCCTGAGCATTTTAAATTGCTGCTACATACTGTGTTCTTTAAAATGCAAGCGCTATTCTTGTTAGGCACTACAACAATAAGCTTCTCTTTTATCAACTCTGTTTACAGTTCAAGCATATCACAGTTTCAACTGGATTGTGTGCAGATATCTACAGATTCAGCTGCACAAGTAGCAGACACTGGGAAGTCATGTAGTAATATGACAGAATGTCTGACACTTAGGGGTAGGATTAGACAGAATGACAGTTGTTGATGTCATTATTTATTCAGGACATATTACAGTGATGTGCCCATTGTTTTTCCCTGGGTGGCTATCACAACAGGGTACAGTGTTCTGTGACGTGACTTATTTTTAGTTCCCAGATCTGATTCCTGCAGTGTATATAGTCAATCTTAACAGGCTTTCTTCTTAATTTATTAAGAATTAATCTCAGTCACTATCTAGAGAGCATTGTCAGAATATTCATGATTCAGATCTTGAAACCTTGATTATCTTATAAATTATGCAAAAGAAGGTATATAATGAATACTTATGATTCCATTTTTTAGGCTTTGCAACTTCTATGAATGTTCTCAGTACCACTAGATACTTTAAAGAGCATCATGTTAGAAATACTTGGACTTATATAAGAAATATAAGAAGATTGCTGAATTTTACAGAGGATTTGGCTCGATAAGACCCAGATTCTATGTTTTCTTTCTGAAATTCTAATTAAACATATTCTGCATTTTTTCTTAGAAAACTTATACATAAATCTTTCAGATTGTGCAAACGCAAGTTCGTAGCTTTCTTAGAAGCTCTGGTTCTGCATTACAATCATAGATTTATATAATTTAACTCCTAGATGGTTTATAAAAATGACATCTTATTAAAATATGTGCAATATTATTGGAAGTCAAACAGTTTCAAATCAGTGATAAAGATTGCTATTAAAAGATAAATACTGTCTGTTAACTTATTTGGGCCTCACATTCCTCTTTTATAAATAAGAGGGTTGGACATCTGATTTGTAAGATTCCTTCCACATCTAACGTCCTCTCTTCTCGGCGCCTGGATCCTAGCTAGAGACAAGAGCTACATACAGTTAATCAGTAAGTGTGTCTTCTGGTGCAAAGAACAGCAGTTGGTGCCTGTTAAGTCTGAGGGATTAATAAGAATATCACAAGTCTGTGTAGCTATAACCTTTCTTCATGATTTATGTTCATGCTTTTAGAAAGTTAATTAGTTTAGGTAATTTTTATTCAGTCACATACCAATATATTCAATTTGGATACATTTACTTGCAAAATCAACCCAAGACACTACTAATTCAATCAGATTATCTCAGTTTTGCCAGTGTGGTTTTCAATGAACAATGCACTCATGTCCATTTGGTTAGTACCGAATTTGTCATAGTCTAAGAGCATAGATGGGACTCGGGTGGGGAGATGCTGAGAACAAAATGCCACCACGGTGTAGGCCATCCACCTCAGATCCCAAATCCCTTAGGCCCTCTCTGACTTAGACATGTAGCATTTCTCACGTGACCCTCTACCTTGTCGAGCCTTCAAGATGCGCCGTAGCCCCCCCGGCCACCACAGCCCCTTTCCACCCAGACAGCTTGTATCCTGAAGGGTCTCTCGACCGGGCTTTGGATCTCTCCTGACTGCTCTCCTTCTGCTGGAACTAGAGGCCCTCCTGCTCAGGACGGCCACACTGAGGGATTCTGCTATTTGAGAGCTTCAGCTGCCTCCAGGGCCCCAGGTGGGGTCTGGATCAACTTCTCTTAGCAGCCTGAAGAGCTTGAGTCATAACAAGAGTACCTTGCGGCCAGGGAACCCTCAGCCTAGTGATGACTCCGTGTACTACTTGTGCACTACTTGAGGATGCAGCAATCCTCTGCTGACAGTGGGTGTCCTTTGGCCACTTTGAGGACCGCTCACCCGCCCTTCTGTCCACCCACGCCTCCCCGCGCAGCTTCAAACCCCTCAGGCAGCTTTCACCCACACGTGTCGTTCGCTCTTCCCCGTCCCTCCAGCAAAGGACCACCGCCTGCCTGCTCACCTGCTCTGACTGCGCTGAAGGCCGTGGGTGGAGTCGGTCCTCAGTTTCCCCAGGCCTGCCTGCTGGCTCACCTTCAGGCCAACCTTTGCACTCCTTGTTCTCACTTCTCTGTAGTACATCCTTTAACATCACCAACTTATTTTTTTCTAATTCGTCTATGACACGCTAGAAATTCAAAGAAAGATCTTGAAAAAATAGTTCATTGTCTCAATAGCCCCTTCCCCATACTCTTCTCCCCACTCACCTGACACAGACTCAGCTCACACCTTGGAATTCAAAGTTGAAAAGTTAGAAGCAGTTTCCCTTCTTGTAGCTTTTCTTAGGTTAAGGCTTGGATCCGCCCGAGAGTAACTCTAAAGATGGGACGATGCATGTGGCATGAGGTCCACACTTTGTGGCTTCATGGTTCCTTTGGAAGTTTTGAAAAATCCCATGTACCTGACACCTCTTTTGTATATATTCTGAAGCCAGCTGGAAGGTTTGGGGATGGGATCAGTTGGTATGATTTGCTTTATTTCAATGGATAATTGAGAGTTGGCTCTTTCTGGGTAATTATGTGTACTATAGATCAAGTCTTTTAATAACAGTGGGGGAAGCTATGAAATGTTTTATTAGAATTTCAGTACAGTGATTGTGAGAAATTACTTTCCTGGTAACCCTAGCGATGTAAAGGGGCACCTGCCACCATCCTGAAAAGTTCTCACATGATATCTCTCTCTCTCTCTCTCTCTCTCTCTCTCTCTCTCTCTCTCATAGACACACACACAAGCACCAGTTCATAGAGTTCCCTAGGAGGCACAATCAAGTGTTCTCAGTGTAACTTCAACTATTTAGGATAAAACAGCAAAAATTGATGTTTGACCCTTAAATTCCGTTAAGTCGTGCAGGACAGTACCTCGTGTCTGGCTATGCTTTACTTCAGCGCTTGCTCTGTGTTACCTCACTGTCTCCTCACGGCAGCGCTGGAAGGTGGAAACGTAGCTACAGTCCTCTGCTGATGGTGATTTGAGAGCGAGGCGAGGTCAGCGACTCGCCTGAGGTCCTCAGCCCTGCAGGGCAGTGTGGCAGATGTAGCAGAGACATGAACAAGTCCTGAGGTTACATTCTGTTCCTCCTGGTGCCTGTGGGGTGCCCTGGGTCGGCAAGAGGTGCTCTTTCTACTTATCAGAGTTGGCAACTGGCATATGTGAACTGAGTGATGAGCAATATTGAGTTCTTTATGCCAACAAGACAGAGCACCTAGATAGAGCCAGAGCCCAGTTGTTTTCTCTTTGTCCTAGTTACCTGCTATCACTAGGTTTGACTTTGTCATGAATCAGTGCTCTCGTGGAGGGTGCAACGCTCTGTGATTAGGTCATTAATTTGCAGGCTGTCTCAGCCTGATGGAAAGCAGGGAACGCCTCGCAAAAGTGAAGAGGAAGGTCCCTCTCAACACACACCCTTCTGTTAGAGCCACCAGGTGAGCTGTGCAGTCTGTAGAGAACCCGCAGCTGCAGGCCAAGCCCCTGGGTGCTTCTGAGGGCTGTCCCTGGCCAGATCATATACAAGTCAGGGCGGGTTGGAACCTTACAGTGTGTGCATGCTGTTCATTACTTTGCAGCTAGGAGGTGCTGTGTGCATGTGTGTCAGAGAGGCTGTGTATTGGTGGGGCCTCTGTTCATGGATAAGTGCATTGTCATGTCTTCTCAGGCTGTGCTGTGAGGGCCGCCTTAACCCCTGCTCCCTTCCCTCCTGGAGCTGCCTTAAGTTCTCTGAAACATTTCCTCTGTAAGGGGATATCTAGCCTGGAGAAAACATCAAGCCCTGTTTCTCAAGGTTTTGTGAGGGTTTTGGTTGTGTGTGGCCTCCAACCCGTAATTCCTTTCCCATGTCTGCATGCTCCTCCCCTACTTATTCTTCCTTTCTTTTCTGCTACTTCCAAACGGGTATTGGCAGTCAACAATCTCAGAGCCAGTGAGCGGTGGGCTCAGAAAGTGCTCCTGAGTTTGGGGGCCTCTGTCACAAGTAAGCAGATGAACATATGGAAGAAATATAGAGATAAGTTAGATTCTCAGTAATATTTAAATGGCTTGTTTTCCACTGACCTTTTCTTAATAAAGGTTAAGAGTACATTGTAAACTGTAAAACGTTTCATGGACAGTTTTCAAAAATAATTTTTAAGAACCTGGTACTATAAAAGATTGAAAACAAGAAAGAATGCTATAGATTATAATCCATTGTATTGCCCTAAATTAAATCAACCTGGAGTCAGTGGGTTTTCAGTAGATCAGGAACTGAAAAGTACTATGTAGCGTATCTGCCAAAATGCATTTTATACATTATTTTATAATTTGGTCTACCTAAAATGTTCATTAGCTTAACTTAGTGGGTGTTATTAGAGTAATAAATATCTGAAAATGACTAACTTTTTTTTAGTACTGTAATATTGCCTGAAATATTTGAAAGAAAAATGTTTTTTTTGAGTTGAAACTGGAATATATAATTCAATACTTGGTAGTCAGTACATTTAATGCATTTTTCAGTCAATAGTTTCAAATATCTTATTGTTACCATATGTTATAAAATTTTAGCCTACATTTTAGGCTCTCTAAATCATTTGAGCCATTTATTTTTTTTCCCAACAGTGATTTTTTTTTTTTTCTTTAAATGTGGATATGTAAGTTGTAATTCATGATTCCTAATTATGTGTTTTTGTGGAATCCTGGAGTAATGTTAACTTTTTGTGTCTTAGAAAATTTAAATTCCTCTAACAGTGTTGCGCAGAAATGAGCTTATGACATTTAACATATTGTATTTTAATTATTAACATTAATTGTTAATTTACTGTGAAATGGATATGCCTTTTAACTAAAATGAAATTGAACATTGCAATTTTCCAAGTAGTTTTTCTTCTTGGATCTGGAAAAGGAATTCTACTTTGATCTACATAGAAAAATACGATATAGCAAATCTTTGAAAAGTTTTTAGGTACAGGATTCATCCATTAAAAAGGAAACAGAAGTACTGAGAAATGAAAAGCATTACCAACCAACTCTAGTTTTAAACGGAACTCTTCCCAGCATATCTCATATGGAGTTTTTAAAACTAAGTTAATAATTCACCTCATATCAACAAAAGCCTTTGAGACATGGGTTTTCACTAGATATCACCTAGTGCTAAGATGAGAACCAAATCAATATCAGAATGACATTTAAGCTCTAAATTTGTAGTTGTCTAATGTTGTGCTTAGTAAATGTGTGTCATTAATGCTGTATTCTAGTTATTATAGAAAATTGTTCAAATAAAGATATGAATATAGAGGATTTTTGTTGATGTCTTATAAATAAACCCACAGCATATGGAACATGAAATATATACCAATATACACCACAGTCTGAGCTTTAAAATGGAAAGAATAGAAAATTTGCAGTGTGTGCTCACAGATGACAACAGAATTAAATGAGAAGTCAGTGACAGAAAAAAATAAATTAAAATTCTCCAAATACTTGGAGATTAAACAACACACTTCTAGAGAATACATGGGTCAAAGTAGAAATCTCAAGAGAAATTTTAAAATATTTTGAACTAAATGAAAATACAATGTATTAAAATTTGAGAGATGGCTCTGGCGGGTTGGGCTCAGCGGGTTAGAGCATCGGCCTGCAGTCCAGAGAGACCCAGGTTCAGTTCCCGTTAAGGGCGCGTACCTCAGTTGCAGTTTGTTCCCGGCCCTGGTTGGTCGTGCAGGTGGCAGCCACTCAATGTGTCCCTTTCACGTTGATGTTTCTCTCTCTCTCCCTCCCACTCTATCTGAACAAAAAGTGGAAAAAAAATGTTCTCGGGTGAGGATAAAAAAAAATTGTGAGATGCAGTGAAAGCAGTACTTAGAGGGAAATTTATAGCGTTGAATGCATGTATTAAGAAAAAAGATGCCCTGGCCGATTTGGCTCAGCAGTTAGAGAGTCGGCCTTCAGACCAGAGAGTCCTGGATTTGGTTCCCACTAAGGGCATGTACCTTGGTTGTAGTTTGTCCCTCGCCCCAGTTGGGGTCATGTGGGTGGCAGCCAGTCGATGTGTCTCTCTCACATCCATGTTTCTCTCTCTTTCTTCCCCCCTTTCTCACTCCTGCTCTATCTGAAGATAAATGAAAAAAAAAAAAGTCCTTGGGGGAGGGTGAAAAAAAAGAAAATCTTAAAATCAAATACAATATCTGTCTACTTTAGAAAACGAGAGAGAGAAAGAAAATTAAACAGGAGAAAATAAATAGAAATTAGAGCAGAAGTAAATGAAATTGAGGACAGGAAGTCAATAGGGAAAATCAATGAAACCAAAAGCTGCTTCTTTGAAAAGATCAATAAAATACTGATAATCCTCTAGCCAGCTAATTAAGAAAAAAAAGGAGAGATGACATATATAAGTGGTTGCTTATCTACCACTTAGGTGTGGGGGTAATGAGGGGATAGGGAGTTATAATTAAAAAGCATTGGAGCCCTGGCCAGTTTGGCTCAGCAGTTAGAGTGTCGGCCTGCGGTCCAGAGAGACCCAGGTTCGGTTCTTGCTGAGGGCATGTACCTCGGTTGCAGTTTGTCCCCAGCAGTGGTTGGGTTGTGTGGGTGGCAACCACTCGATGTGTCCCTTTCAGATCAATGTTTCTCTCTCTCTCTACCTCCCACTCTATCTGAACAAAAAATGAAAAAATGTCCTCAGGTGAGGATAAAAAAGAAGCATTGGAGACTTCCGGTCAAGATGGCGGGTAGGTAAACACGGTATCGCGTCCTCCCACAACCACATCAAAGTTACAACTAAACTACAGAACAATCATCATTCAAAACCGCCTGAAATCAAGCTGAATGGAAGTCCTACAACTACAAAATTAAAGAAGCTGCATCGAGACTGGTAGGAGGGGCAGAGGCACTTCGGGCTGGTCCCACACCCACATGTGCAGATAAAAAATCAGGAGGATACCTCAGCTGGGAAGGTCCTACCTGAGGACTGAGAGGTCCCCGTCCCACACCAGACGCCCCGCTCAGGGTTCCAGTGCCAAGAAGAGAATCCTCATAACTTCTGGCTGGAAAAACCAGCTGGAACTGAGGCTAAGGGAAGCAGACTCGGCTGGAGCCCCAGGTAGCTCCTTAAAGAGCCCACACAAGGACTTACTTGGACTCGCACCCTCTGAGCTTGGAGGGGAGGCAGTTCAAGGGGCACCAGAGACATACAGGGAAGAACTGAGCTGTTTGGCACTGGAGTGAGGGCTGGAGAGGGGGCTTTCTCAGGGACAAACATGCTGTCAGAGGCCTTTGTTCCTTTGGTGACCCTTCCCGGGGGCAGCAGACAGCCACCATATCTGGGACTCCAGCAACCTGGCTCACACTGTTGGCCTCGCCCTGCCCCACCCAACTTTCAGGCCCACCCAAGCTGTTGCCACTTGCTTAACCATAGGATTGGCCTGTCTTGGATCCTGCTTCAGGTTTTCCTAAATTCTTTCAAACAAGCAGCATCTGGTCTCAGATAGCCCCATACCTCTCGTTAAGTACTACACAGAAACAAACAGAGGGAGGCAGTCAAAATGAGGAGACAAAGAAAAGGTCCCAAATGAAAGAACAGAACAAAACCCCAAGAAAAGAACTAAGTGAAATGGAGATAAGGAACCTAACAGATGCTGAGTTCAAAATACTGCTTATAAGGATGCTCAATAAACTTAGTGAGAACCTCAGTGAACTTAGTGAGGGCCTCAAGAGCATAAAAAAGGACCAGTCAGAAATGATGGATGCACAGTCAGAAATGAAGGCGGCATTAACTGAAATAAAGAATAATTTACACAGATTCAATAGTAGAGTATGTAAATCCAAGAAGCAAACCATTGATTTGGAATATAAGGAGGCAAAAAACACCCAATCAGAACAGCAAAAAGAAAAAAGAATAAAAAAAGATGAGGATAGTGTAAGGAGCCTCTGGGACAACTTCAAACGTGCCAACATTCGCATCTTGGGGCTACCAGAAGAGAGAGAACAAAAAATTGAAAACCTGTTTGAAACAATAATGGCAGAAAACTTTCCTAACTTGGTGAAGGAAACAGACATACAAGTCCAGGAAGCACAGAGAATCCCAAACAAGATGAACCCCAAGAAGCCCACACCAAGACACATCATCATCAAAATGCAAAAGGTTCAAGACAAAGAGAGAATCTTAAAAGCTGCAAGAGAAAAGCAGTTAGTTACCTACAAGGGAGTTCCCATAAGACTGTCAGCTGATTTCTCAAAAGAAACTTTGCAGGCCAGAAGGGAGTGGCAAGAAATATTCAGAGTGATGAAAAGCAAGAACCTACAACCAAGATTACTCTATCCTGCAAAGTTGTCATTTAGAATCGATGGCCATATAAAGAGTTTCCCAGATGCCCTGGCCGGTTTTGCTTAGCGGTTAGAGCGTTGGCCTGCGATCCAGAGAGACCTGGGTTCGGTTCCCGCTAAGGGCACGTGCCTCGGTTGCAGTTTGTCCCCGGCCCTGGATGGGTTGTGCGGGTGGCAGCCACTCGATGTGTCCCTTTCACATTGATGTTTCTCTCTCTCTCCCTCTCTCTTCTTCCCACTCTATCTGAACAAAAAATGGAAAAATGTCCTCGGGTGAGGATTAACAAAAAAAAAAGAGTTTCCCAGACAAGAAAAAGTTAAAGGAGTTCATCACCACCAAACTGTTAGTATATGAAATGATGAAGGGTATTTTTGAAGAAAAAGATAAAATATATGAACAAACAAAATGGCGATGAATACATATCTATTGACAATGGAATCCACAAACAAAATGAACAGGCAGATCAGAAACATCCTCATAGATACAGAGAACATTTTGTTGGTTGCCAGCTAGGAGGGGGGTTGGGGGAATGGGTGAAAAAGGTGAAGGGATTAAGAACAAATTCATTGCTAGACTGACAACCTCAAAGGGAAAAGGGTTGCGGGGGGTGGGAAGAAATAAACCAAAGAACTTATATGCATAACCAATGGACACAGACAATAGTGTGGGAAAAGGCGGGAGGGGGGCGGGAGTGGGGAAGGAGGGGTCAATGGGGGATAAATGAGGAACATCTGTAATACATTCAACAATAAAGATTAAAAAAAAAATCTACTAGAACTAATAAATTCAGAAAAGATCACAAGATATATATATATGATCAATATACAAAAATCAATTCTATTTCTATATACTAGCAAACAGTTGAAAAATGAAATTAAGAAAACATTTATATACATTTATAATAACAAAAAGGAACAATATGCCTGGGAATCAATAAAGGAAGTGTAAGACTTGTACACTGGAAACTACAAAATCTTCTGAAGAGCTTACAGAGGTGTCCAGCAATCCACACACTTTCCAGAGGCTAGTGCTCGACCAAGAAGGGAGTTCATACCACAAAAAAATTTCAAATCATTGTGCAATTCTCCAAAAGTCCTGCTAGGATCTTAATAAGTTTATTAGGCTTATGAATTATTAATTCCAGTAGAATCAATACCTGT